CACCACAGCTCAAAGGCATCAATTCTTCTTCTATCCTCCCTAGTCATTGTCCAGCTCTCTGATGCATAGCAAGTGATTGCAAAGACAGTGGCCTATATCAGGCAAACCTTAGTCTCCAGACTGACATCATTGCTCTTCAGTACTTTGGAGAGATCCCTAACAGCAGACTTTCCCATTGCAATATGTCTTTTAATTTCCTGGCTGCTGGTGCTAAGAGTGTTATGTTTTATAAAATTAATCTCCATTAAATCATGCCCACCATTACACCATCTTTTCAGGTCCTCACCAGATCTTTCCCATTTTCTTTACCTCTCCCTCCACCCACCAAATTATGCAACCTTGTGATTTCCCCCTTGCCCACTCTCACCTCTCTTCTCCCACCCCTTTCCCACTTGCACCCCCATAGATGTCCTTTTTTTTATTAAATTAATTTATTTCTTTTTCGTTTCAATGAACATCTACAGAGATTTTGGAATTCCATTCATTCATTGTTGCACCCTTCTCCCAGCCCTCCCTCACCCCTTCCCCCCTTTATTTTTTATAATACTGGTTTTATGCAGTATTTGTCCTTATGAGACAGAGTTATTTCAGTCAGCATAATGCTCTCCAGTCTCTCCCAAGATATGTAGTATTTTTCAAAATTGTTGCTCCTGATGTTGCTGTTGTTAAGTGCGAATCAACTCTAAGATTCACATTGTTATTGTACACTGTCGGGTCGGATCTGACCCATAACTGCTCCTACAGTGAGTTTTCAGTGGCAGTAAACAGCATAGGGAGAGATTGCCCATCCTCCTCCATGAGAAGGCTCACTGGAACCCTATGAACCCTGCTCTGTGCTGCCCCATTGTCATGATCTCTTGAGCCCATTGTCACAGTCACTGTGCTAATCCATCTTGTTGGGGGTCTTCCTTTCTTTCTCTGACCCTTTAACTTCCCAGGATGATCCCCTTTTTCCAAGCACTGGCCTCTCCTGACAACATGCCCAAAGTATGTGAGACCAAGTTTCGGCATCCTTGCCTCTGTGGACAATCCTAATTGACATTAGAATTTTTTTTGTTTTAATTTTTATTGTGATTCTAATGAAAGTTTATAGAAAAGTTGAATTTCCATTCATTTGTTGTTACACCTTTTCCTCCCTACCCACCCCAGTTTGAGTCTCTCTTTAAAAATCTTCCATTGTTGCACAATTTCTCCCCCCCCCCCGCCCAGTCTGCCTTTCTATACACTTCTTATTCTGAACTATTGTCATGCAAATAATAGTATATTCCTTTTAAACAACTTTCCCCTCATTTGTTTCAATGCAATGTTCATTACTTATCCTCTCTTATCTTAGTTTCCCTCTAACCCCCATGTCAGTCCTGTTTTATAACAGTGGCTTTATGTAGTATTTGTTCTTTTGTGACTGAAATATTTCACTCAGCATAATGTCCTCCATGGTCACCCATTTTGTGTGATATTTCATGAGTTCCTTGTTTTTCAGTGCTGTGTAGTATTCCATTGTGTGATATACAGCTTCTCTATTCATTCATTTGTTGATGGGTACTTGGGTTGTTTCCACCTCTTATTATGAACAGTGCAGCAATAGACATGGGTGTGCATATATCTGTTTGGGTGGCAGTTCTGGTTTCTTTAGGGTGTGTTTCCAGTAGTGGAATTGCTGGGTCAAATGGTATTTCAATTTCCAACTTTTTGAGTAAGTGCCATACTGCCTTCCAGAGTGGTTGCAACATTTTACACTCCCACCGACAGTGAATAGGGGTTCCAATTTCTCCACAACCTTGCCAGCATTTGTTGTTTGCTGCTCTGATGAACTTTGCTATTGTTATTGGGGTGAGATGATATCTCATAGTTGTTTTGATTTACATCTCTTAAGAAGCTAGAAATTTTGAATATTTTTCATGTATTTATTTGTTCGCCATCTGAATGTCTTCTTTGGTGAAGGGTCTGTTCATATCCTGTGCCCATTTTGTGATTGCGTTATTTACCTTTATCTTGTTGAGATGCTGGAATATTCTATAAATCCTAGATATAAGTCCATTATCAGACATGTCATTCCAAAATATTTTTTCCCAGTCTGTGGCTTACCTTTTTACCCTCTTGGAGAAGTTTTTGGATGTGCCATAGGAATTTTATTCTCAGAAGGTCCCATTCACCTATTTTATTCTCTCCTTGTTATAGGTTTTAATCCTGATTGCCATTAGATTTTAATATTAAATTTGACATTAGCTTTTATTAAACAGGAAAGTTAAACTAACAGAGATGAACTAAGAACAGACCACAGCATTAAGTGTCTGACTTACCAGTCTGTATTAAAGGCACAAGGTCTGACGGGGATAGGCTTGGGTCTGGCTCTTATATCAACGTCTGAGTATGGAGACTATAATGTCCGTCTCAGATGCTCTCCTGAAAACCGAGTAAGATAATAGGTACAAAGCCTTGTCTCTGACATATACAGATCCTCAGAGAAATACGGATATTGACTGTTTAACTAATTAAGCAATTCATTAATATTGAGTAGTATTTTACCTTTCTCTTCTTTTTTTTTTTCATACCTAGGTTCCCTCTCCCCTACACACACACACACACACACACACACACCCATCCAATCGTCTAGATTGTCCCCTTCTCTTCTAGGGGAAACGTCTAGACACACGCCTCAGCTAGAAGGTCAGGCTGAGTTCCTGGCCCAGGGTAGGCACTCAGAGTCTGTTGAAAGAATGATGTAGCTTGTCTGTTTCTCCAGGTTTCCACCAGTAACCACAGGCCTGGGCCATCACCCCAGGAGCCCAGTCAATTTCCTCTCTGTCTTTCTTCTTTCTCCAACTAAGAAACCACTTTCCACTAAAAACTCAAGGTCTGTGGTTAAAGGCCAGAGTGATTGGACAGTAGCCCTCCCAACAGTCTCAATAGTATTTCTATTGTACCAGAATTCCAAGTTCCCATCGACAGGGGTTGGATTCCCCAGCAGACTCCTAGGGTCTTTGCCTCCCTCTTCCCATCAAGTGCTGTCGAAAGTCACCCAAGTTTCCAATCCTGACCAAACACCATGCTTCACCCTGTGCTCTAACAAGGAAGAGAGGTGGGTAACTTTACATTTCCTCCTGCAAAGGCTGAAGCCCTGGTAAACTGTGGTTTCTTCACACAGCAGGTGAGGCTGGTTCCAAGAGCAATTGCTTTCACCGGTCTTTTGGGTCTTTTTAGTAGCCTCACCCCAAGAGGATGATACGTGAAGCTTTAAGCATATGGTCCTAGTTTTGGTTAGCAAGTGTTTGTTGACTGACAGCAGGAGTTACTATTGTTGTTAGGTGCCATCGAATTGACGATGACAGAGACTCAATGAACAACAGATCTGAACCTTGTCCTGTTCTGTACCATCTTCATGATTTCTGTCATGCTGATGCCCATTGTTACAGTCTCTGGGTCAATCCATCTTCTTGAGGGTCTTTTTCTCTTTCACTGACCATCTGTCTTTCCCAGCATGATGTCTGTCTCCAAGGATTGGTTCCTTCTGAGAATATGCCCAACCTAAGTGAGATGAAGTTTACCATCCTTGCCTCTAAGGAGCTCTCTTTGATTGTACTTCCTTCAAAACAGGTTCGTTTGTTCTTTTGACAGTCCATGGTATATTCATTCTTTTTCTCTAACAACACATTCCAAAGTCATCGATTCTTCTTCTGTCTTTTTTATTCATTTTCGAATGTTCAGATGCATGCAAAGCCATTGAAAAGATCATGGCTTACTTCAGGTGCACTTTGTGGGTTTTTGTATGTTTGTTTTATTCCTTAGTCTTTAAACTGACCTACTTGCTCTTTAGAACTTTGGAGAGGTCTTAGACAGCAAGTTTTTTCAAGGCAACATGTCTTTTGATTTCTGGACTGATGCTGCCATGGGGTGTTGATTGTGGATCTAAGTAAAATGAAATCATTGTTAACTTCAACCTTTTCTCCAACTAGCAAGATGTTGCCTCTTGCTAGAGAGACAGCAACAGACAAGACAGATTGTTCTCATTTCTGGCAACATGCTAAAGCCGACCATCATTTTAGTTAAACTTCAAACCCAAGGCTAGGCAGATATCTGCACCCAGTGGAGGGCTTCAGTCCAGGGACCAAGATTGGTGGAACAACTTCGGGAAATCTGGCCACAGAATCTATTTCATCCAGTATCTTCATGGGGCCCCTTGTGACTAGCTAGGTTAATGGTTTAGTTGTGTCTACTTCCTAATGGTTTAGCTGTATCTGCTTCCATTCAGGAAAGCCCGGCTGTGGCTCTGGTGGACTCGGTGGCTCCAATCTCCTGCCCTCTTTCTCCCACTTGTGACAGATCTCTCACAATGATCATCACCGGCTGGGCTCTGGGCTATAGGAGGAAGTGATGTGCCAACCATTGTGGTTCAGCTGGGGTCCCTGCCCCATCTTTCTCACCCTTGAACCAGCCTCAAAGACAGCCAATAGCTCAAATGTGGCACGTTTCCATAGAAGAAAGAAAAAGGACCCTGGAGGCTTACACACAATGAAATGCTTTGGTCAATAAATCATACACATCATCTCCACTTCTAACACATTGGCCAGCTGTGGTCCCATGGCCCCACCCAGCCACAAGGGCTTGGGAAGCACAATCCTGCTGTGGCCCAGAAAGTGGGGAGCTGGAACTATTTAGTGACTAGAATTAGTGACACATGTCTTCTACATGCCCCATGTAAGACATTCTGTACGCTGCAGCCAGAAGCTATGCGGGGACAAGACGGACTTCAGGGCATGTTGCTCCTGATAAACTCAGTCTTACCTTCCTCTGTCACCTGATTCCCTAGAAAAGAAGTCTAAATACTTCTTTTTTCTTCAGCCTACTCTAAGGAGGACCTTGACATTTTCTCATCATCCTAGAAACCTCAATTCCCTAAATAAGGTATTTCTTATTTAGAAATTGCCTTCTTCATCCTCTGTTCTTGTTACATACCATTGAGTTGGAACTGACTCATAGCTGACCCTCCAGCGGGTTTTCAAACACAGTAAATAGCACAGTAAATATCACCCATCTTTCTCCTAGAGACCAGCTGGTGGGTTTGAACCATGTACCTTTAAGTTGGCAGTGCAACTCTTTATCACCAAGCCATTCATCCTTTACCATTCATCATGCTCCTCACCCAAGGTCAGCAGGCCATTTCTACTCTCTTCTGGATGGCTAGAGTGAGCAGTTCTAGATCCTTCAGACCCTCTATCTGGTGGTGGTGGTTGCTTTTGTTTGTTTTCATTCTTTCTTGTTTTCTCTGTTTCTGTCTTTTAAAGAAACTTCAGGTTAGCTTAGCCTTGTGTCACCAAACGCCAGCTTGGGACTCCTGGTTGCCTTCTTTCCAGAGATGAGCATTATCTCTGTGTTGCCAGGATTACCCACATCTGTTCTGAAGAGTTCTGCTTCTGTCCTAGCCAAGCTCTTTCAATGACCACCTGCCCTGTGGGATAGCTTCCTGTTGTAGACCCTCCTGCCATGCTGGAAGATTATCAGGAGGGCATGTTGCAAGGATGGACCAGTCCTTGAAGAGAGGCTTCGAAGGCTGGGGGGACAGCACAAGAGAGAAAGACTCTGGATGAGATGGATTGACTCAGTGACTGGGATACTGGGAGTAGGTGTGTCAGAGACAATAATGTTGGCTCAGGACAGAGCAGGGTTCACAGCTGTTGTATATAGGGCCACTGAGTCGCAGGCAACTTGCTGCCACATGACAACAATAACCCTCACCAAGGTGAAGCTTGGGCTTGAGAGGGCTTTAGCCTTCCAAAACACGGAGCTTTCATTTATCCTGACTCCTGCCGCCTAAGTCACCTTGGGGGGTATGCATTTTTACCCTCAGGCTTAGAGTCTATGTTATGTTCTGTGATAACAATTGGGGGGGGTTGGCGCTTTTGCAGAAAGCCTGTGTTCTGACCCTTGACTTTCTTCCTGCATTCCAGTGTTGAGTCTTCTTTTCATGCCTGAGTGCTTAGTAGATATTTTCCCCCTAAAGTAGTAGAGATCTCAATCTAAAGGAAGAAGAATGACTTGTTGGGAAGAATAAGTCATCCTGCTTCCTTTGGAGTGGAACCAAGCTGTCTGTCATGAATAGTGACACTGGACTGGAGGAGTCTAATGTCCTCCTGCAGCTCTGACCCAGAGTTCAGTCCCTAAGCCATACACCGGCTCTTCAGTCACTTGCCTATGTGTCTTAAGTTGCATGATGAATAAGAATGCTAGAAGAAGAATCGATGCTTTGAAGCTGTGATGTTAGAGTACAGAATATCCCGTGGACTACCAAAAGAACAAACAAGTCTGTCTTGAAGAAAGGGCAACCAGGGAGCTTCTTATGGCAACGAAGGTGAGACTTCACCTCACATACTTTGGGGCTGTTGTCAGGAGCAGCCAGTCCTTGAAAAAAGACATCATTCTGGGAAAGGAGTAAGGTCAAAGACAGAGAGGAGGACCCTCAATGAGATGGATTTACACAATAATTGTAACGATGGGGTCAAGTCTATCAGAGATGATGGGGATAGGGTGGTCTTCAGATCGTTGTTACGATGAGCTGTAGGTGATTCAGCAGCTCCTAACAACAACTGAGCCAGGTTCCGGGTGTCTTGGAGTGTTTGTTGTGGTGGACCTCATGGTGCCAGGTCTTATCAGGAAGAACCCTGCCCTGCAGCTCCTGGCAACTGAACCTCCCTCCTCCGCCTCCTCCTCATCACTCACTCTCCCAGGACTGGTGTCCTCTCCCCTGTCTGCTGATCAGGCTCATCCTTTCTTCCTGGAGTCTCACCACAGGGGGTGCTGAGCACCCTCCTAGGTCTGACACCTCTCCAACAGAGACATCTTCTCAGTCCAGGCCACCGTGGCTACATCAAGATTCAGTCCTCATCCCCAAGCCTCGTTTCCAGAAGGTCCGTTTTGCCTTTACCGCCCTCTGGTGATCTTTTCTAAGGCCTCTGCCAACTAGTTAGTGCGCCAAGCATGCCCAAATGCAGTAAAGGTCAGCATTTATAAAGGATGAGAAATTCACCAAGGGAAGATAGGAAGGCACACCCCGGTCTAGCTTACAAAGCAGGGCTCTCTCATCTTCCCACAGCTCCTGGTCACCACAGTCTGCTGCACCCACCCAGGGAGTCTCCCTTTCTGATTTTTAAATTCTTCCATCTCTCGCTTTTGTCTAGGACAGTGAGTAGGAGGAGGAATTGAGGGCTTGGGAACACAGGACAACGCTCACTCTTTCCTATATTCATTTACATAAAAACTGACGCCTTTTTCCCCAGCCAAGGGCAGGGTCAAGGGCTTACTTCCTCACAGACCTGCTCATGTGCTGTGATTCCCAGGGGTGACCAAGGGAGAGGCTGTTATTTTTCAGATATCAATGAATGTCGTCACCCTGGCACCTGCCCCGATGGGAGATGCGTCAACTCCCCCGGCTCCTACACTTGTCTGGCCTGTGAGGAGGGCTACAGGGGCCAGAACGGGGCCTGCGTAGGTAAGGACTGCTTGCCAAGGTACTGAGGGTGTCATGTGGCCTAAAAACCCCTGCTTGAGCCCCACCCAAAGGGGGAAAGAGATGGGCAGAGGGGGACAACTGGAGGCTCTTGTCTTCTGTGGTCCTGTCAGACACCCAGAAGATGCTGGGTGTAGGATGGATGTGTGCTTCAGTTCCTGCTGCTCTGACCTCTGAATCAGCTGGGGTGGTGTCCCCTTCTGCTCCTCAGTGTTATCCGTCCAGGACTATAGTTCAAGGTCCTGGATACTTCTGTGGCTGAATCCTATTAGGTGGGATGAGGAAGAGGCTGAGTCTGGTTATGTGAGCCACAAGTCGGACCCTCCCGTGGCTTCCACGTAAACAGCAGCACCTCAGTGCAATGCCTTCCTTGACGGTGGTTACCTCTTCCCTCCAAGGGGAGCTGCATGTCACCAGTAGGAGTGCCCTCCCCGTCAGCCCCTACATGAAGAAGGGCCCAGGGTTCTGAATGCCAGGAGGGGGCTGAGTTTTGAGTCGATGCTTTGAGGATCTGGAGAAGGCAGCTGTTTCCCAGGCTCTGGAGGCTGCTGCTCAGCCACCCAGGCCTGGCCTGACCTGTCCCTGTGGCCCGCCCACCCACCTGCCCTGGCCTCTCCCTGTGGCCCGCCCACCCACCTGCCCTGGCCTCTCCCTGTGGCCCGCCCACCCACCTGCCCTGGCCTCTCCCTGTGGCTCATCCAGGCCTGGCCTGGCCTGGCCTGCCCTTTCCTTGTGGCTCACCCACCCACAGAAGTTGGTTGTTGGGCTGAGTGTGTGAGAGCATACTGGTTTGATTGGTAGGTGGCAGGCCAGAGAGGTTCAGATCCACCGTGACACCTTACTGGAAGTGCCCTTAAATAGACAGGCCAGTGCAGCTCCAGGGCTGGCAGCTCTGGCCTCCTTCCCATAGGACATATGCAGGGTGCTCTGTGTTACGTGCTAGGACTGAAGCAAGTGTGGCTGGTAGGACAGCACGCAACTCCAGTGGGGCAGGTGGGTCCATACCAGGAATGAGGGTGTATGGCCTCATGCGTTTCCAAGGGTGGCCTGTGGCCCCCTGAAGGCTGGTTCACTGGCCTCATAATCAGGGTACTCTAAGCCTGTGGATTGACACCTGTATGAAGGAGGGTGGCCAGCCACCATCTTGGCCTTCTCTCCTACAGATGTGAATGAATGTCTGACCCCTGGGGTCTGTGCCCATGGGAGGTGCATCAACCTGGACGGCACCTACAGATGCTCTTGTGAAGAGGGTTACGAAGTCACCTCAGACGGGAAGAGCTGTGAAGGTACAAAGACTGGAAACGTTTCCTCTGCAGGAGCAGATCACACCCAGCCTGGGGCTTCTCCTCTGTACCCAGCCCCAATCCACTCCTGGTCCCGCATCCCTGACCATGCTGGCCCTGCACATTCCCTCCTGCCTGTGCCTCTGGCTGGCCTGGGTGTGGCTGCCCACAGCGAGCCCACACGCAGAACCCAATGGCCTGTTTCAGATGTTGACGAGTGTGCCAGCCGGGCCGCCTGCCCTGCCGGGCTCTGTGTCAACACCGAGGGCTCCTTTACCTGCTCAGCCTGTGACAGCGGATACTGGGTGAATGAAGCAGGCACGGCTTGTGAAGGTAACATGAAGGCAGAGGGAGAGAGGGCGGAGCAGAGGACACTCCGCTTATCCCCCAGCTGTGGGCGGCACTGAGATTCAAGCCACCCAGAGAATGGGTCATCCTGAAGCTGAGGGTCTCCAAGTGGGGCTGGAAGACCCTGTCAGTGGAATTAGCATAGGGACAGATTGCCCAGTAAGCAAGGGAAGCATGGGCTTATTTGTGCGTATTTCTTGGTCTGTCGTGAACAATTTCACATGAGTTTTACCTCTTTGATGTGATGAAAAACATGAAACTATTTACTACAGATTTAAAAATAAGCACAAGTGACATTATGCCTACTTTGCTTCTGAGTGGTTGTTGTTAGGTCCCATCAAGTCAAAACCAACCCCTTAGCTGACCCTCCAGTGGGTTTTCAGAAGCTATCAATGGAATGGAAGGAAATTGTACTTTTTTTCTCCCATGGAGCAGCTGATGGTCTCGAACTAGTGCCTTTGGATTGGCAGCATAGCACCTGATCACCAGGCCACTCGAGCTCTAAGTATTCAATCTTTCTGAGGAACAGTAATTCTGAAAAGAGGCTTTGATTCTAAAGGGTTCTTCAGTGGAATAATCTGTAGGGAGTTGTGCTGCTAGCCTAAAGGTGGCCATTTCGAATCCAGCAACAGCTCTAGGGAGAAAGATGGGCAGTTTCTTCCAGTATAGGTTTTAGAAACCTGCCGGAGGCTCAGCTAAGAGTCTGCTCCCGCTCGACAGCAAGGAGAGTTGAGAGGAAGTTTTGATTCTTTAGGAATGCACTGAGGGGTTGGACAGATGCCAGCAGAATCTGACGTGAAAAAATGTGAAACTTTTCACTCTAGGTTAGTAAATAAGCACAATTAATCCCATGCTTAGGGAGCTCTGGTGGCCTAGCGGCAAGAAGCTGTGCTTGCATTCCCAAAGGCATGCGGTTCTAATCCACCAGCAGTACCCCAGGAGAAGCAATCTCCTCCCGTGCGATTAACTGCCTCTGAAAATCTGCCAGAGGGTCAGCTATGGGTTGGTTCCGACTTCATTGTATACAACAATAACAATCCTATGCTTGCCTGGTTTATTGGGGAATCTGACACTGATTTGGCCCCAAGGAGAGCTGCTGGTGTCAGAATTCCCAAGCTCAGAGGTGAGGGCAGGAATCCCGGGATTGCCCTCTAGAGAGCCCACAGCCAGCACCTGCCTTTCCCCAGAGGCTGGAAAAGTGTCCTATGCGCTCAGAGAGGGACGCAGAGGTGTGGTGAAGTGCCTGTGCTGGGTGGGGAAGCCTTCCACTCACTTGCATGACTGACTCTTTGCCTGCCTCAGACCTGGACGAGTGTGCCTTCCCGGGGGTCTGCCCCTCAGGAGTCTGCACCAACACGGTGGGCTCCTTCCTCTGTAAGGACTGTGATGAAGGCTACCAGCCCAGCCCCCTGGGCCATACCTGTGAAGGTAAGCAGTCTGTGAAGTGCAGATGGGGACTTGGGGGACTCACCTGTCACTCTTCAAGGGGGAGTGTCAACAGGGAGAAAGTGGAACATAAGGAGTGATGTTAGAACATGGGGATTGTAATCAGTGTCACAAAGCATAATGTGAAGGGAGCTCTGGTGGCAAGAAGCTGTGCTGCAATCCTGGAGGCATGTGGTTCGAATCCACCAGATGCTCTGCTGGAGAAGAAGGGGCAACCTCCTCTTGTGCCAGTTGGATCCGATTCCATGGTATACAACAAGGAAAAAAACCCCGAAAACCCAACAAACAACGCATAATGTACATGAACAAACATTGCCATAGAGTTGAAACCCACTCCTAGCTAACCCTCCAGCGGGTTTTCAGAGTTGTAAATCACATGGGAGGAGAAGGCCCACCTTTCTCCCGAAAAGGCCTTTGGGTTAGCAGCCCAACTCCTTACGGACAAAGCCACTAAAGTTCAGTTGACGTTATTGTTGGTTGCTATTGAGTCAAGCATGATTCAAATGAACAAAAGGCCTGAAGCCTTTCTGTAACTACAGTCATTTATCAAAGTTTATAGAGTTTCCAGTGGCACATTGTTTTGGAAGTGGATGCTACTCCTGCTTCTGTAATGGAGAATAAAATTTGCCCTGTCAACTTTCACTCAAGTCACAATTAAACATTTTTTAAAGAGGAGAAAGAGGATATCTAGACCAGTGGGGTCCTTCAATCCACTGAGGGACATCTTTCTCACCCCCTCCCAAACTTGAGCAGGTGGTCAACCGCAGACCTGAGTCTCATGGACCAAATTAAAAGGCTTGTGTGTGTGTGTGTAAACATCACAGGGGAACTTTGTTAGATATACTGCTTCCTGGGCCTGGCCTGACCCACCAAGTCAGACCCTGGAGGGAAGCTGTGGGATCTGAAGTCTAACAAGGTTCTAGGGAGAGTGTGGACTAGGATCCTGGTTTGAGAGACAAGGATCAGATTTCAGGAAGTTAAGACGCTATCTCAATTTCTCCAACCATGCCTTCTTTCTCATTTCCTTATGCTTCTAAGGAAAAGCTAAGCCCTCTTAGCTAAGGTAAGGGTTGCTGGGAGGGGCTGAGAATCCCTAAGGTGAGCAGTGGAGGCAGGGGCTGAGCCCAGGCAGAGCTGTGAGTGAGCCTTCTGCCCCCCCCCCCCCACCAGGCTTCCTTCAGCACAGCCTTCTCCCCATTGTGCTGCTGTGTAAGGAGCCAATGCTTCTATGGCTCCAGTCTCCTCAGACAGTGATGGGGACCCTGGGGCCTCCTCCTAGGTCCCTGCGTTGGGAGGGGCTGCTATCAGCTTTCTCCCTCCCTTTTGTGGGCCTGCAGACATCGATGAATGTGAAGACCCCCAGAGCAGCTGCCTGGGAGGCGAGTGCAAGAACGTGCCTGGCTCCTACCAGTGCCTCTGCCCCCTTGGCTTCCAGCTGGCCAATGGCACCATCTGTGAGGGTGAGTGCTTGTCTGTCTGTGAGGGTGAGTGTCTTCTCCACCACGGGGTAGGGTAGGGGGACAGTGAGTGCACAAGAGGCAAAGCTGTCCCCTGCAAACACCAGGCCTTCTTCTTGTTGCAGACGTAAACGAGTGTGTGGGAGAAGAGTACTGCTCACCGCATGGCGAGTGCCTCAACAGCCACGGGTCCTTCTTCTGTCTCTGTGCCCCCGGCTTTGTCAGCGCCCTGGGGGACACCAGCTGCCAGGGTGAGAAGCCAGCGTGGCCATGACTATTAGTCACTAGCAGGGGGCGCCAGAGGCTTTGTTTGTAGTGATGCAGTGAAAGCCCTTATTAAGTGCTGAAAACAGACGCCATTGGGTGGCTCAAACTATTCATGCCCTCTGCTGCTAACTAAAGGCTGGAGGTTCAAACCACCCAGAAGTGCCCCAGAAGAAAGACCTGCTGATCCACTTCCAGAAGACCAGCCTTCAAAATCCTTGTGCAGACCAGTTCTCCTTGACATGAGTCAGAGTCCCTTTGGCAACTTGTTTTCCTGGTTTACAGAAATAGAGTACTATGGTTCCACCCAGGATGGGAGACTGGCTGGGGTTGATGAGAGGAAGCTAAGGGCTAAGGAGCGCCTTAGAGTCCTTCACCAAGGTCTCTGTGGCCCTTTCTGGATTCCTCTCTTGCCCCAACAGAGGCCCAGTTTCACCTGCTTCCAGCTGGCCTCCAGCTCAGGGCCCTCCCCATGTCCTCCTAGGGGCTCCATGGAGGAGGGGGCTGGGACTGCTGACATCCTTCTCTTCTAGATGTGGACGAGTGCGCAGCAACAGACCAGTGTCCGGGAGGGCACTGTGTCAACACTGAGGGCTCCTTCAACTGTCTGTGTGACACTGGCTTCCAGCCCTCCCTGGAGAGTGGAGAATGTGTGGGTAAGGGCTTTGGAGTGTGAAGGGGGTGCTGCCCCACACCTGCCTCCCTCCACCCGTGCCTGGCTCTCAGCTACCTGGGACTGGGGCCTGCAGTTTCCCAGGAAGCACTACTTCCCACAGAGGGATCGTTCAGTGAACAGAGTGTGGGGCCTCTGCTCGCTCTGAGGCTGTCTTCCTGGCTCTTGTGTTAGCAGAGCACGTAACTCTTTTTAAAGTTACACTGATTCCAACAGACATTTATTGAACACCTGCTAGTTTTAAGGCCTTTTGCTGGGATAAGTAAGATTGTTATGGACTATCTTGAAATTGAGCAAGAGAGATAGCGATGAGGCGAGCTCTGTGGTGAAGGGTTGATGTGAAGAGAAGTATAATGTGCTCAGCTGATGAGGAGAGCGGGTGAGAGGGACAAGAGTTACAGAAAGCATAGCGCTTTGCTACTTAGCACACAGTTCTCTTCCTAGCCGCTCATCCCTGCTGGGTCGGGGCAGTGATCCTGAACTTGATGTACTGGGGTTGAGATAAGCATGGCAATGTGTAACAGATCAAGGACACTCACAGCCCTCCCACATTGTGGGCCATGACTTAGTTACAGCAGATGGCCAGGCCAGCACACTGACTGGCCAACACTGCCCCATCTCTGCCCTCTCTCATGGCTCTGGTGACAGATGTTGATGAGTGTGCGGGCTATGACGACTCCGTGTGTGGACCCTGGAGGTGTGAGAACAGCCCTGGCTCCTTCCGCTGTGTGGTGGGCTGCCAGCCTGGCTTCCACATGACCCCGAGTGGGGACTGCATCGGTGAGCAGGGGCCGGGGGTCAGGGTGTGAGGTCTGCGGGTACCCATCGTATCTTACAGATAGGAATTTTGGAGACCTTTGAAGTAGGTAGATTTCCATACTATAGAGCTTGCGCCAAAATTGGAGAGGGCTGTTTGTATTTTTATTCTGTGTTTAGAGATGGTTTTTTGTTTTGATTTAGATCTTGGTGTTAATAAGTAAATAAATTTTTTCCAGTAAGCAGAGATATGCAGGGGGAGGGGAGAGAGAGAAGCACCCTATAGTCTGGTCTCTGCTGTCCCACAGACATAGACGAATGTGCCAATGACACCATGTGTGGGAGCCATGGCTTCTGCGACAACTCTGAAGGCTCTTTCCGCTGTCTCTGTGATCAGGGCTTCGAGACTTCACCATCAGGCTGGGACTGTGTTGGTGAGAGGTTTGTGGGTGGCCAGGCTCATGACCAGGGAAGGAACGGCCCAGCTGCCCTTCTTTCCATCTCCATACATGTTGGTCATCTCTTTCCTGCTATGCCTGTGGTCACACTGCTCCCTAAGAGCTCCCCACAGAATGGGCAGGGAAGGCTTCAAGGAAGAGGGCGATTTCCCCTCCATCCTACAGCCAGCACCTTCACTTTCAAAACCCAGCCTGCTTGTTTTGCGGGGGATGAGATGAGGGCCTGCCTGCTCGGGCCCCAGGCTGCCTAATTTTTTTAACACCAATAAACCTGTCCCCATGCCTGGCAGACGTGAATGAGTGCGAGCTGATGCTGGCCGTGTGCGGGGCTGCGCTCTGTGAGAACGTGGAGGGTTCCTTTCTGTGCCTGTGTGCCAGTGACATGGAGGAATATGATGCTCAGGAGGGGCGCTGCCGCCCGCGGGCGGCTGGAGGTAAGGCTGGGACGCTCACAGGACATCCTCCCTAGGCCCTTCAACATCCAAGACAGTTCTGGGGCTTACAAAGTGCTTGCACTGCGCCAGCAGCTTCACTACCTTGGCCCATGAGTGAGGCGAGGCTGGACTCAGAGCTTAGATAGTAACTCAGCCTCTCCGCTCGGCTGGGCTAGTCCTCACCCGGCCTTCATGGGCTTGGAGAAAAGGAGGCCGCACAACCACCTTTATGCTTTCTTCAGCTCAGTCACAGGAGAAAGAGGAAGGGTGGTAATTGTGAGGGACTGGACACATTAGGAAGTAGAAGAATAAAAGGCTGTCCCTGGGGTGGGGGTGGGGGGTCTGGACTAGGGTATCCTACTACATGGGAGGGAGGTAGTGTGGCATACAGAGAGAGCAAGGGTTCAAATCCATGCTGCATCACTTAGTAGCTGTAGACCTGTGTGACAACTCACTTAACTTCTCTAAGTTTCGATTTTATCATCTGGAGAAGGGAGATAATAACACCCACCCCAGGGAGTGAAATAATATCATTGATAGAAGCACAGTATACATTGTAGAATGCTGTCAATGTTACATTTTAATTCAAGGACTGGGGTGGCTCTTAAGCAGCTAATAATCCCGCACAGGTCAGGGTGTCCCCGAGGCCCCAACAGTGGACCACCCTTCAGGCCCCATTCGAATGGAATGCTACTCTGGGCTGAATGGCCAGCCACCCTGCTCCAGCGTCCTGGGCCGGAACACCACTCAGGCCGAGTGTTGCTGCACATGGGGCACCAGCTGGGGAGACGCCTGTGAATTGTGCCCACCCGAGGACTCAGGTAAGACCCCCTCAGTGTCTCCCCATATACTGTGGATCAGATTTATGGGGTGACACTGGAAAGAGGGGAGGGAGGAAGGAGAACAACCCCCTTCTTTCTCTGAACTGGATGCTTCCACACACAGTGGAATTCATTGAGATCTGCCCCAGTGGCAGGGGCTACATCCCCGTGGAAGGCACCTGGATGTTTGGACAGACCACCTACACAGGTACGTCCCTGCAGCCCTCACCCCAATCTGCTCACTGAGCAAATCCAGCCTGCTCCTCCAGGAAGCCCCCAGGGAAGCTCGGATCTGGCCGGTCCACCTAGACAGCTTTTAGCCTTTCTGTTTCAGCCTTAACCCTGTGTGAGCTTTTTTTAGCTGAGAGTTCTGACCCAGGGTCTTCCTGGAGCGTCCCATTCAGACCTCTCCTGAGTTGTTCCTGAAGGAAAGTGTTCAAGAACAAACTGCGATGCCTTGACTAACTCCCATCCTCCACTGTGTGTGGACATAGGGCCAGAGAGGATGAAGGACACTGCTGGACAGAGGCCATGGACTCCTGCTTTTCTCCTGTGCCCCATTTCTGAAGTCAGGACCTGGGGAACTTATTCTCACAGTGGGGTGTTTCAGGGACTCCCTATGGTCCTGAAGCTGCAGGAGGAGATGAGAGAAACAGAAGTGGCTCTCCTGGAGGGCTTGCTATGTGCCACACATTGTTGTGTTTTTTTTCTTTTTCCCACCACACACTGTTTTAAGAACTCTAACATACATTAACACCACACATGGATCCACAGTCAACACCCTTGGTACCAGGAGATTAGGAAGCATACTGCACTGGGCAAGCCTGCTGTCAGGGACCTCTCCAAATTACTGAGGAGCAGTGATATCAGTTCAAGGCCTAGGCGCACCTGATTCACGCCATAATTTTTCATTCACTTGCTGTGCATCTGAAAGCTGGGCAATGAATAAGGATGACAGGAGAATTGATGCCTTTGAATTGTGGTGTCGGAAAAGAGCACTGAATGTCCCATGGGCTGCCAAAAAACCAAACAGATAGGTCTTAGAAAAAGTGCAGCCAGAGTGCTCCTTAGAGGCGAAGATGGCGAAATTTTGTGTTACTTATGTTGGGCATGTTGTTAGGAGAGGCTGTCTTGGAAAGGGATATTATGCTTGGAAAGGTGGAGGTGGAAGAGAGAAAGGAAGACCCTCAATGAGATGGATTGACTCAGTGACTGCAGCAGTGGGCTCAAGTGTGTCGGAGATGATGAGGATGGCACAGGATAGGCCAGAGTTCTGACCTATTCATAAGGTTACTGAGTTTTATTCAGCTCGAGGTCACCTAACAACAACAATAATCCTAACACCTGTAAGAAGTAAGCATTATAATTCACGTTTTACAAGCAGGAACCTGAGGTGAGGAGGATTTAAGCAACTTGCCCCAAGTCTCTCAGCTGGTAAACAGCGGAGCCAGGACCTGAGCCCAGAAAGCCCAGCTTTGGAGTCCCAGGGCCTAAGTACTTCCCTGCTCTGTCTCCCACAGACGCTGATGAGTGTGTGATGTTCGGGCCGGATCTCTGCAGGAATGGCCAGTGCCTCAACACAGTGCCCAGCTACATCTGCCTGTGTGATCCTGGCTACCACTATGATGCCGCCAGCAAGAAGTGTGAGGGTGAGCACTCACCCTTCCCTCCCAGACCTCCACCCCATCAGTCACATTCCGGGGGAGTGTCCATTCCTGGGGAAGGTGTCCACTGTGACAGGCAGCTACGAGGTAAGGGGAGGCAGCGTTGTCAGGATTGTTTGTAAGTGCATCGATAGGGACGTGCCCCCTCAGTTGGGTGTAATGTGTGCTGCCTTCATTCTTGGTCACAGAAGAGCCCTGTGGAGGCGGTCAGTGGGGCCTAGGCACTGCCTCCTCACTGTCCTTCCTCCTTCCTGTCACTGCAGATCACAATGAGTGTCAGGCCATGGTCTGTGAGAACGGCGAGTGTGTGAACACAGAGGGCTCCTTCCACTGCTTCTGCAGTCCACCCCTCGTCCTGGACCTCAGCCAGCAGCGCTGCGTGAATGGCACCAGCGACGAGGGTGAGTGGACGGGGCCAGCAGGGCAGTGGAACAGTGGTCTGTGCCTGGAGACTTCATTTGTCTCTCTGCCCTGTGCTCCCAGATGACCTCCCTGACCATGATATCCACACGGACATCTGCTGGAAGAAAGTCACCAACTATGTGTGCAGCCAGCCCTTGCGTGGGCGCCGCACCACCTACACAGAATGCTGCTGCCAGGATGGGGAAGCCTGGAGCCAGCAGTGCGCCCTGTGTCCCCCCAGGAGCTCTGGTGAGAGGGGCTGTCTGTGCTGGGAGTGGAGGATGGGGGTACAGAACACAGCAGTGGGCTGGCATCCCCCTTAGGGGGACATCTTCTCCTGGGAAGGAAGGAGGTGGCAGGCAGCATGGTGGCCCCTGTCCTGATCACTCTTGTTTGGGGATAAAGTAGAGAGGATGGGTGCATGGAACTCTCAGAGGAGAATGGCTTCCCCCCACCCATACTTGTGCTCACCTCACTCTGATCTGGACGTTTCTCACCCTGACTTGGACTCCTTTCACCATGATCTGCACTCCCCCCACCCTGATCTGGACGTTTCTCACACTGACTTGAACTCCCTTCCCCCTGATCTGGACTCCCCCACCCTGATCTGGACGTTTCTCACGCTGACTTGGACTCCCATCACCCTGATCTGGACTCCCCCACCCTGGTCTGGACGTTTCTCACGCTGACTTGAACTCCCATCACCCTGATCTGGACTCCCCCACTCTGATCTGGACGTTTCTCACCCTGAGCTGGACTCCCTTCACCTTGATCTTGACTGTCCCGCCTACTGCTCCTTATCAGCCCTGTTCCCTCCCACCCCTGAGGTGTGGAGGGAAATGTCTAACTAAGCCTCAGCTCCCAGGAATTGGAGGCCAATGTTTCTCTCCCTCCTCCCTGACAGAGGTCTATGCTCAGCTGTGCAATGTGGCCCGCATCGAGGCAGAGCGGGAGGCTGGAGTCCACTTCCGCCCAGGTTATGAATATGGCCCTGGCCCAGATGACCTTCACTACGGCCTCTATGGCCCTGATGGAGCCCCCTTCTATAACTACTTGGGCCCTGAGGACAGCCTCCCTGAACCAGCCTTCCCTGACATGGCCAGCCACCTAGGGGACCACACACTTGCCTTTGAATCACCCCTACAGCCTCCAGAAGCCCAGCCCCGCTACGTGGCCAGCCTGCCAGGTCCGTATTGCTGTAAAAAGAGGAGAGGAGGGCAGGGAGGATGTTTCACTTCCTTCTGTTACATCATGTTGCCAGCAGGCTGAGGGTGAGGAAGGGAAAGAATGCACTGAGCCAACTGTTCCCCTCAGGGATCACTCAGGGACAGCTCCTCAGCCCCCGTCAGACCTGGTAACTATCACAAAGTAGCACGGGGGCGCCAAAGAGTACAGGGCTCTTCTCAGGCTCCACAGGCTTGCCTCTGGGAGTCAAGAGAGTGAGAAAGTGGGGTACACTTGGGCTGTTTTCCACATTTGGTCAACAAGTCTCCTTCCATACCACTTAGACAGTAAGGGACGGCCTGCTTTCAGGGGAGCCAGCACTCACATTCATCACCTGGCATGTGGATGAAGACTTTTCAATCACGTTCAAGGCCTGCTGAGGTGGCTTCTTTCAGATGGTGACAACTTCAGCCCTCAGGGCTGAGGAAGTCAAGTCAGGCACCTGCTACAGCTCCTATGGCCAACACCAACAAAACCAAAAACTACATAAGGACATCCATCAGTTTTGGAGCTTTGAACTGCAAAAGTGGAGTCCCAACCATTATTCCAGGAGTGTTCGCGCCAAGCCTAGCATGTCTGTCTCACTGAAATGGAACATACTTAGTTTTAAAGAGTATCACCATCACCTTTCATTTTAGTACTTTTCTGTGAGAACTTTATGACTCCTGCCCCAGAGAGTTTGTCAGGGGCAACCAGGAGGGTGGGGGTTCTGGAGTTAAGAGACCCGACTCTGAGGCCTTGTCTTCCTTCTCTCTGGCTCCCTCCTACCAGACTACCAGGCTGGCTTTGAAGGGCTCCGGGCAGAGGAGTGCGGCATCCTGAACGGCTGTGAGAATGGGCGCTGTGTGCGCGTGCAGGAGGGCTACACCTGCGACTGCTTCGAGGGCTTCCAGCTGGACATGGCCCACATGGCCTGTGTGGGTGAGTTTACAGTTGAAGGCGGGTGGTGGCTCTGATGTGCATGCGAAGGCCAGGCTGGCACTCTGCCCACGTGCAGATGTCCTACTAAATTTAAGACAGTCCACTGCTGTCCCCTAGTGGGGCTGCCAGGCACCAGCCTACGGGGAGAGGTTTCATGAGGGGAGGTCTAATACTGCATTTTGAAAGTGTGGAGATTTCTAACACAGAAGGCAGGCGGGGGGGACAGGATCACTGTTCTGGGCGTGGTCTGAGCTCACGATTGTTTTATGTTACTAAGTTGCTTAGTTTGGGACAGTGACTTCAACCTCAGGTGCCAGCTCTGTGAATTGGCAGCAAGGCAAGGGCCAGGGTCTGGTTTCAAAGGGGCAGGGAGAGCAGGCCAGACTCGTGGGCTCCCTACAGCTCTGCCATTCTCCCCTTCATCCTAGATGTCAATGAATGTGAGGATTTGAATGGCCCTGCTGCTCTGTGTGCCCATGGCCACTGCGAGAACATAGAAGGCTCCTACCGCTGCCACTGCTCCCCAGGCTATGTGGCCAAGGAAGACCCCCCACACTGTGCTGCCAGGGAGTAGCAGGGAGGGGTATGGAAGCTACCTGGAAATGCTCCCAGCTGAATGATGCTCTCCTGCTGGGAAGACATCTTGATGACATCTGGCAGGAGGCACTGGATCCAGTCCCCGGCCAGCCTTGCCTACCTTTCATCTCTCAGCTTAGGCTCTGGCTATGAGCTTCCACCACTGCCTCCATGCCACCATGCCCTTGCTTGGCTCAAACATCACCAAATGCTTTGATGCTTCAGCCCTTGGCCAGGAGGCCTGGTCCATCACCTGTCTTGGCCTTGCTATGGAATGTTTGCCAAAGGATGGCCCTCAGCTTCCCTCTCTCAAGCTGTACAAATGGGCAGAGTTCTTCTGCCCCACACTGCAGACACCTCTGTCCAGCCATTACCACGTCATCCTGATGATTCCACAGCCAGAACAGAAGCTACATCTGCCCTGGGACAGGCCTTCAGAATCCATGGAGCCATGGGGTGGGGGAGTGGGGAGTAACTCCAGTGTTCCCTACCAGGAACCATTACTACCATCTTACCAGTCTGCTTGGAGTCTAACTTATGCCACATCTTCATCTTGTCGCCAGTTCTTTGGCTCCAAGAAGGGGCGTAAGATTCCCTCTTCTCAGAGACGTGAGAGTGATACTAGCTTGCTGAGTGTAAAAGGTACAAATGACAAGGAGCAAGGAGCCCAAGGAAGCCAAAAGAGGGGAGTATGCAAAGCATGGACAGCTGAAAAGTAGGGGGAGCCAGGGCTTTATACAAGTCCAAAGGAAATATTCAGTAGCTTTGGGTAAGTAAACATTCACAATCTGCCAGGCAATAGCCCTTGTACACCAGCAGCAAGGATTGCTGTAAGCCAGGCTTCCCGTCTTCAAGGACCTTTATTAAATACACCACTTCTCACCAAGTCTCTGCTGTGCTCCCCTTCTGTGAAAACCAGTCTGATGTCAGACAAAGGAAAAGGTCTGTTTTCTAGCTGGTGGAATACAGCAGGCTTTTCCCTCTGCTCAGAAGCCTCAGCCCCAACCCTGGAGTTGGGAATGATGGTGGGACAAAGAAATACACATTTGGGTATTGTTTATCTTGTTTTTATTTCATATTAGACCAAATGTGCTTACCATGTTGGCTACATCTAAATATTAGAGATGAAGCTGTGCTTACCCCTTAAGAGCCCTACTGATACAGATTTGGTTTCATGGGGAAAGTTCTCTACTTTCCCAAGATAGAGACAACTCTGACGAATGACAGTGTAAATAAAGAAGGCTCCGTGTGGCTGGAGACATGAAGATGAACTACTACTCTCTTAACTCAATTTGTACTGTTCTATCTGCTGCTCTGATTGCCAGCCATTACATAATTTATTGAATGCTTGCTACAGGCCAGGCACTGTGTAGAGTACTGTGTATACATTTCATTTATTCAACCAACAATATGACTTTATGATATTTATTCCCAATTAATAGATAAGGAAAATGAGACACAGAAATGCTTAGTAATTTTCTGTAGTTCACTATGTTGATTGAAATTTTTCAGCAGACAGAAATAATGGATCTTAAACATATGAAAACATTCTAGTCTTCATTTGTAAGAAGAGAAATGCATTGTGGTTAAAACCACAGTAAGTCACTGGGCTTGAGGGCTTAGGACCACAGTCTCAGGGGACATCTAGATCAATTGGCAGGACATAGTCCATAAAGGCGATGTTCTTCATCCTACCTTAGTGAGTAGTGACTGGGGTCTTAAAGGCTTGTAAGCAGTTATCTAAAATACGATTGGTTTCTTGCCTATTTGGATAAAGAAGAGTGAAGAAAATCAAAGAATCAAGGAATCCGTTAGTCAAAGGACCACACAAACCCCAGCTTCTAGTATCCTGAGACCAGAAACATTAGATGATGCCTAACTACACTGCCAACCACTCCGACAGGGATCACAATAGAAGGCTCTGGACCACGTGGGAGAAAAATGTAGGACAAAATTCAAAATCATAAAATAGACCGGACATATTGGTCTCTAGAGACTGGCAGCACCCTCAAGTCTATGACCCTTTGACACCTTCAACCCTGGAATGGAACCCACTCCCAGGACGACCTTTCTCAAATGATAGACAGGCCTATAAAGTAAACTATAGCACTTATGAGGAATGTGCTTCTCAAGAAAATCAACGACATGAGACAAAAAGGGCAGTTATTTACCCAAAAGCCAAGTTCAGAAGGCAAGAAGGGGCATAAAGGATGGATGAATAGAAATGGGAACCTGGGGAGGATGTAGGGAGGTGTTACGTTGAAGGGACAGCATCTGTCACAAAACAAGATGTATAGAAATGGTGGAATGGGAGACTAATTTACCCTGTCTGTAAACTTTCATGCACACCACAATAAAATGTTTTCCACGCATGTGCCATGCTATTTTTAATCACCAGACTGGCAAATACAAAAAAGTTTAATAAAAGTCCTAGATGGCAAGCATTTGGGGAATCAGGCATTGCCATTGCTGATGGGAGTATGCATTGAGACCTCTGAAGGGTAGAATAAGGTGATTTCTTTCAAAATTATGAAAGCACTTACTCTTTTATCCAGGAATCCTACCTGTAGGATTTTAACCTTCAGATACAGTGCTATTACATAAAAAAAGAAGTATGTAAGAGATTCTTTATTATAGTATTATTTTTAACTGCAAATATTAGAAACAATGAATTCTGACTCAAAACCACCTTAAAGGACATAGTAGAACTGCCCTATAGAGGGCTGTAATCTTTAAAGAAGCAGACAGCCACATCTTTCTCCCGTGGAGCCAGATGCTGAGTTCATACTGCCAACCTTTTCGTTAGCAGCCCAGCACTTAACCACTGTACCATCAAGGTTCCTATTAATTGCTGTGGAGTTCTTAAAAAAACTGCTTTAAATACACTGATGGGAAAAATGAAAACAATTAAGAAAAATGGTGTATTACTGAGTGTAACGCAATGCTGCTAATCGTCTAAAGAAGGTGGAAAGAGCTGGCTAAGTACTAACCTCATCCTCACTACACCTCAAGCCCCAAGTTTCAGAGAACTTCAACCATTTCCCCAGAGCAACTCTGTTCTTTATCGCCTGGTAATGTGCCCTTCCCTCCAACTCCTTCCCTCACCCCCTCAGAAATATGTGCATATACACTCATTTCTAATAAAACCACAAATAACAGCATACTATACATGTTGTTTGGCACTTTGCTTTTTCCACTTAATATACACTTGCACATAAGGAACTGCCTTATTTTCTTTTATAGCTGTATAATAATAAAAATTTATTTAATCCATCTCCTGATAGACATTTGATGTTTCCCATCTTTTGCTATTACAAGTAATGCTGCAATAGTATTCTTGCACATAAGTTATTTCACATTGTCTCTGTGGCATTTATGGGATAAATTCTTGGAAATTTAGTTCATAGGGTGAGTGGGAGGATGGGGATAGGCTTGGGAGATTTTTCACTGTCATTTTCTTTCATAGATTTAAAAATTTTGTACCAAATGTATTACCAACTTAAAAAAACAAAATATTTTTAAATACAGCTGCTGGCCACCTATGTCTTAATGCTCTATATATTTACATGTCTAGAGCTGACAATTAAATCTAGGTGACACTTATTTCAAGAGGCTACAGAGCAAGGCTCTTTTAAACAGCCTTGTCTTTCTGAGGAGTCCCAGGTGGCACAAATGGTTATATATTCAACCAACTGAAAGACTGGTATGGGATTATGTAGAGAATGAAGGAAAACAGATTTTAAAAGGGCACAAACACTAGCTATACCAGCTATCGTCAAAAGTAGATGAGTTTCCTAATGATCACAATCTCAAGTAACCACAGAATCTAAACTTTCTGGGCATCAGAGAGTAGATGACCCTTTGGAAAGGACTGTTTTGCAATAATCTTTAAATCTTAAGTTACAGATATTCCCCTGAAGTCTCCTTTAAGCCAAATAATAGTTTTGCTTAATGGCTAAAGAAGACTGTCTGGGGCATTGTGTTCTTTTAAGATCTAGCAATAAAGAAGCAAAGTGACAACAACTTGTAGGTGAGAAAGGAAGCTTATGAGGCAATGAATTAATGGAGGAACAACTCAGGGAGAGAAAGAATTGTTGCACAACTCCAAGGACATAATCACGTCACTGAATTAGACATGTATAAACTATTGGATTAGTGTTTGTTTTGCTGTGCATATTCTCAAGGGGAAAACTTTTTTTTTTAAAAAAAAAAAGTTTCCTGCCTTTAAATATATAAAGCCATGATAATATTGCAGTGATAACGCTAAGCTCTGCCCAACATCAGTGGTGTAACATCAGCTTAAGGCCAGAGTTTCAGGGGATGTTATGCCAAACAGAGGATCAACTACTATTAATGCTGTCTGTGTCCTTGTACCAGGAGGCTCCTGCCAAATGCCAGCTATCCACTCTGATGCTTTGTAATGAACAATTAAAACAAGAGGGCTCCATTCCAGAAGAAAGAAAACAAAAGCTTTTTTTCTAGACTGTCCTCCCTTTGGGATCTGTTTCTCTGTAACCTTTGTAATCAGCCAATATTCCCACACTGAAAAACTGACACATAGTTTATGTATCACTGCTCACTAGCATCATGGAACTAGAATGCAACTTGACTGTAAGAGTTGGGCATGGACAGACCCCTTGTCTGAGCCCCCAACAACATAAAGCCTCTTTACAATGTGATGTAGGTTTCAGGGCTCCTTTGCCTATAATTCTTACAGTATTGCATTTTGGTAAAGCAAAGATGGGTCTGATGTATTGCCCAAGCCAGGCATTGCCTTACATGTCACATTAATTAAAGATATTTCTGCAACAAATAGGGCTTAGTAAAGCTCTCCTTGAAAGTAAAATGGAGGCAAAGAATCTAAGTGCTCCTGGAAGAGTCTATACCATTTTCCTAAATGAATTCTCATAGTGAATATTTGTAAAAGGTCTGCTTGAAGAAGATATCTGGTAAAATGCAAAAGATGGGCCTTGCAGAGAAAGGGGCTCTGATTCTACCATTCTGTTCTAAGCAAATGCCTGTGTTCATTTGGTGTCATTCTTCCATACCTTGTGTTCTTAAAAATGTCTCCATCCCAAAATGGAGACTTCTCAGCACTGCAGGTTTCCACACGAAGCATTCCCAGTGCAATGAAGTAAGATGATTTCTCTCAAATCCAACACCTTCTCCCTTACACAAAACTCCAATGCTCCCATTAACAGCACCCACTGGCAGCAAGTGGATCTTGGCTCACAGCAACCCTCCACTGGGTTTTCTAGACAGATAAATCTTAACTCATCTTTCTCTCGAGGAGCAGCTGGTGGATTCAAACAGCTGACCTTTCTGCTAGCAGCACAGGTTCTAACCCATAGCAACCTCATCTTTCTCTGCAGCAACTGGATTTGAATCACTGGCCTTTTGAGTAGCAGGCCAACACATTAAACTGGAGCTCTCATAAACAGTATTGCTATTTTTAGGTGCTATTGAGTCCACTACAACTCACAGCAACCCTATGACAGATTGGAACTTGTTAATGGAAAGGGCACTTTCTGACAGCATGCTCAAAGTATGTAAGATGAAGTTACATTGTCCTTGCCTCTCTGGTGGCACTTTCTCCAAGAGATTTGCTTATTCTTTTGGCAAGTCCATAGTATATTGAGTATACTTCTCCTACACAATTCAAAGGCATTGATTCTTTTAGCTTTTCTATTCATTGTCCAACTTTCAGATGAACACAAAGCAAATGAAAATACCATGGCTTGCATTGAGTGCACCTTAAGTCTTTAAACTGACATCCCTACTCCTTTATCCATTAACAGGTGCCTAGACATAGGTTTCCACTTTCTAAGGGACCTTGCTTCTGCAGAGTTAACCACTGCAGTTTAATGGTTTAACAGCCACTTGTGCTTAGTGGTTATTATAATAAAATCAGAAAATAATCCATGATCGTATTCTGAAAGAATGGGTCCTCACATTCAAAATGTAGCAAAATCCCTTTATTAAATTTTTTTTTCTCCAAAATCCCTTTTTAAGGAGGAAAAGACTTAGTCTGAGCTGAAAATGTTTATTAAGATCAGGTATTGGCAGCAACTCTCAGGATCTTTGCAACTTTTCACAGACATTCATTATACGCTGCTCTCTGCCTCATCCCAACAGAGGTTTCTGAGTGTCTTTTTCCTCTCACCAGGAGTTTAAATCATAGGTCTTACTGGAAATCTACGCATCTGAGTTTCTGCCTAATTCTTTCTACTTTTATTTAAGTCCTCCTAGTGAATGACTTCCATTTCAACGTAGTCCAGAAATGCAAGTTTTTCCTGTAATAAACTTTTAGGTTTCTGAGCAAAAGATGGATTTAGCCAGTAACTTTTCCGAGTCAGCCTGTTGGCTATATTGGCTGTAGTAAATTTTTTGTTAGGACTTTTTCCCCACCTTTTTTCAGTTAACCACACTGTGCTAACTGTCCTAGAAATCATACAGGGTCCTTGATTATCAGAATATGTCATTTAAAAAGCTTTACTTCAGTGACCCAAAAGTAGGGTTTCTGGCTTTAACAATGAATAATCAATTGTTTAATATAACTATATCCCCAAGCATGTGACATACTAAAAATTATGTCATTGACCTAAAACTCAACTTTAACTGGGTATCCTATATATTATCTGGCAATCCTATCTAATAAAAAGTCCCTGAGTGCTAGCTGTGAGCTAGCAGCTTGATGGCTGTCATGTCGGTCACATAAGTAAAGTTCTTTGGGTCGTGTTTGATTGTGTGTTACTGCTCTTCTGCCCCCCCCAAAAAAAAAACCACAAAAAAAATGGGTGTCCTTGAGCCTTTGACCAAGGGTGGAGGAGTTCTAGAGGTTGTGGCTTTAAGATCCCACAAGGCTCTTGTGCCAAATTTATTAATTTTCAAATTAATATTCTTTAAATGACATAGCAATCTTTTGTCTATTTGCTGCAACTGTCCCAAAGTCTTGTCAAATACCATAATGTTTACCCATTATGTATAACGTTTGGATGAGCTTCTAGATTGATTCATGCTGGGAAGGAGTAGCATCCACTTCCTAAACTAGATGCCTAGGGAAACTCTACAAACTCTCTAAATGTACAGACATGATGCTAGTTATAGAACAGAGTTCAGGTCTTTTGTGCAAAGCTTACTGTGAGTCGTATTTGACTTGATGATATTTAACCACTACTAAATAAAGACTAGTGCTGTTATATCTGGAGGATCACCCTTCCACTTTATACATCACTCTTTGTCAATGTGCTGTATGAAATAACCTGGGTTGGCTGTGATGAACTTTGTGCCACTGGGGTATCAATTACCAGAATGGTTTCCAAATGTGAAGTGTTTGGTGGAACTCCCAGTTTTAAAACAGGTTTGGAAGCAGCAGTGGTATCCACTTCCTAAACCACATGCCTCTGGAAGCTCTATGAATTTAGAGAAACGACGATAGTTATGGAAAGGCATTAGGTTTTTTGTTCATAGAGTCGCTATGAGTTGTGTTTGACTCGATGGCAATCAACAACAACAATATATACATCAGCAAAAGAACTATGTGCTTATGCATGAGACCAGAGACAATGTACAATAAGGCTGTAAAAGCAACATATTCTGAAATAATACAGACACTTAATGACCACAGAATTTTGAAATGCCCCTATGAGTAAGGAGGCTATTTTTTATAAAAATCAGTGGGAGTTTGGTATGAGTTGTCTGGGTGTTGGGTTCTTTTTTTTGTCTAACAGAATCACAAATTTGAGTTGAAAAAGTGCTTTGTTTTTCATTCCTTCTGATTTAGTAATTTAGTATTTTGGCTACTCAATCTATAATTCTAATCCAAAACACAATAAGGACTATCTTTTAAAATATAGCTTTATGTATACATATAGCTTTCCACATATGTACAAACATCTTTCTGAAGGTCAGAGCAGTAACTCCAAATTTTGGAGCCCCAGAGGTTTTATAGATTACTCTTGGTGTTGACCAGTGATTAAATCTGAGGAAATGCCATTTGGAGACAAGACCTCTGAATTTTGAGGGGGGCTAGTGTGTGAGGAATTAGGGCAACAGTAAGAGCTTCACATTCTGAAAATAAGAGAGGCAAAACACAACACTCTTTGAGTGAGGGCAATAAAATGAGAGGAGGCATGATTAGAAGGATTCTACTAATCCCAGGTTCCTCAAATTGGTAGAACTGGTGGCAATGTCTGGGTCATCCATTCTTCCCTTCAAAGTTTGACAGAGAAGGATGACCCACAGGAACAGCCTTGCTGCGCTTGGGGATTGTTCAACACTTGAAATGAGCTCCGGATAAGTTCTTGGCTGAAGTCCACCTGGGCCCCATTGACGAAGGCCAAACTATCAGAGTCAACCACCACTCTTGCCCCACCCTGTTCAAATACCCTAGAAAGACAGGAGGAAGGCATTAATATCGCAAACATCCCAAATATGACACCCTTTGACACACCCTCCCCCCCCCACAAGGGGCATACCCTGTTTTCTCTGAAATACACCCGGATTTCTTATTACCTTTAATTTAATTTCAAGGGTGATTCTGAGGCAAAAAGTGCCCGTGAAATGAATACCAGGAAATATTTCATGAATTAGGCCTGGAACAGAGCCTAACCTGACACTCTAGCAATCCGCTGTGTGCCGAGCATGCCAATTTTCCCCCTCTAAGACTCTAAGAGACGATAACTGTCAATTCATTAAGTCAAGAAAGCAAGGTTCAGTGCATTTACGATGTAGATGGGGAATGTTAACCACTCTTAGCACACCTTTGCAATTTGTAATAAAAGTGTCATCTTATATTGTCGTTGTTGTGTGTCATCGAGTCAGAACAGACATCCATTGCTAACCCTCATTTCATACTAGAGACATTTTTACTCTCTTCGGAAAATCCGCAGGGATCCCATTTCTTCCTTCTCCTTGCCTGTCATCGGGGTTGATAACGGTATCCAGCGAAAATTTATATTGAAATCCAGAGCATCCACCGCCTTCCACTTGCAATCTGAGGAATTCTGACCCTTCGGTGATTTCCAAAAGCCTCTGAAATGCAGGAAAGGGAGAAGCCCGGGAGATAGGGAAGAGGAGGGTGGGCGAAGGGGTTCGCCCCAACACAAGAGTCCTCCTACCTGCACGCAGCTGTCAGTGAGGTGGATCTGCCGCTCGTCGGCCTGGGGGCTGGAGGACGACGCCTTCCGACACACCAGAGGCCTGAGGCAGGCGGCGGGGAGCCTGCCACGCAAAGGAGGAGAATGAGCCAGGGGGCGGTGGGTCAAGGGGCGCCTGAGCCAGCCCAGGGCACTCATGCGAGCCCCACTGCCCTCCAAACCCAGTGCCCGAAGGCCTTAGCGCTCCACGTGTCCTGAAAGCGCACGACCCAGCACTTTCTCCCCAGGCTCAAAAAGTCGAATGGATACCTGCCCCTCGGCCGGGGAGTGACGGCTCTCAGAGCAGCCGCCGCTTGGTATAGCCCCCACCCGGCCGCCATCTTTGTCCGCAAAAGCCGCCCCTCGCTGAGCGGAGGGAGCACTGCGGGGGCGGTACCGCACGGGAACTCCGCCCCCACACTGTCTGATTGGGTTGTGAGAGAAGAAGAGGGTTTTTATTGGTTAAGGAGGCTTTCCATGCCGGAAGTGGGGTAGTACTTTGAAAGAGCGGGCGGAGCCCTGAGGGGAGGAGTTGAGGCGGGCGGAGCCCTGAGGGGAGGAGTTGAGGCGGGCCAGTCCAGTCGGGCCTCCGCTGAGCGGAGAAGATTGGCGGGGCTGGGCGGTGTAGAAGCTGGACGCAGACGGGGCTGGCTCTCCGGAGCCGAGGGCGGGCGGTGGGCGGGCCTCGGCCGGGCTTGCTGATGAAGGGTCGGCTGACTGGGCTCCTCCCCGGTCCCGCCTCGGCAGTTTGGGCTTGTGACCCTAGAACCCACTGTTTCGTCTGTCGTACTCCGACCTTCCACGGCAGTAATGCGTTTCCTGGTCGCCACGTTTCTGTTCCTGGCGCTCAATGCCGCTTCCCTAGCAGAGCCCGTGAATTGGAAGGACTGCGGTGAGTCCTGGGGCTCCGAGCCCCCCGCGCGCGTCCAGGCTCAGCCTCAGACCCTGCGGGGTTGGGGAGGTGGGGAGGGAGGGGCGCGCGCGGCCTGGACGAAACACCACTCAAAACTTTTGTCTTTCTTAGAAGTGCATATTTTGGGATTCCTGCACAGACATCTAGAGGTGAACGTTTGGCGAAAGTTTCCTCAAGTTTGTAGGATAGAAAACAGAAGGGGGGTGGGGTGGGAAGGAAGAGCAGAAATGAATTTTATTTATGCTTTGTGTCATTTGTTAATACGAGTGCCTTTGCTCTGTAAGTTTTCCCCTTTTGCTTCCTGGAAAGGACTGAATTATGCTTCTCTCCCACCACCCATATCTGTTAGACATCTTGCTTGGTAAAGCAGAGGGTCATCGAAGAGGAGGAAGTCTCAGCAAGATAGATTACAGTGGTTGCAACAGTGGGGTCAAACGGAACAGTTGTCAAGATGCTCTCTTGTTCGGTTGTGCAGAATCGTTATACGCTGGACCCAGCTCAGTGACTCCCAGCAACAGCAGTGTGCCTGTGGCTGTGTCCCAGTGTGGAATGAACATACGGTGTATTGTGAGGCATTCTCATTTGAGATCTAAAGACATGAAACAAGATTGCAGAGAGCTGCCAAGCCGCATGCAGATAACCCAGGAGCCGAAGTTCAGAAGAGGCCAGCAGGCCAGAAGAGAAAGCCTTCCTTTAGATCTGCCAACCTGACTTGATTTCTAGCCACCTAATGTGTGAGGAAATGAATTTCATTCTCCTAAAGCCACCCACTTGTGGTTTGATGACAGGAGCACTGAATGACTAAAACACTGACAAGGCAAAAGTCAGTTCCCCTTTTCTTTATTTATCCCAGCTTCCTTAGAGCTATGGAATTTTGTTATTCATAATTAGCCAGTTTAGCCTCCAGTAAAACTGTGTTGCTAACCACATCTTAGGAGACAGAAGTCCCCTCTTGGCTGCCACTTGGTTAGAAGCTTTGCTGGAGAATACATCCCCCAAACAAACGCACTGCTGTGAAGGCGATTCTGGGTCATAGTGACCCTGTGAACAACAGATGAAAACCTTGACCATGCTCATAATCTCAGCAGTGCTCAAATCCACTGTTGACAGGATAGACCTGCCCTGTAGGTTTGCCAAGACTGTAAATCTTTATGGAAGCAGATTGCTGCATCTTTCTGCCTCAGAGTGATTGGTAGGTGCAAATCACTGACCTTTTGGTTAGTGGAAGACTTCTTGGGAAAAAATCTTATCAGGATCAAAATCCTGAATGAGTTAATTCAGCCAAATCTATGGAATGAATTATTCTGGCTGAACTTTTCTAAGTTCTTAAATTAACACTATTCTAATTATCATTGTTTTGCTATGCATCAGAAAGCTGGACAATGACTAGGGATGATAGGAGAATTAATGTCTTTGAGCTGTGGTGCAGGAGAAGAGTACTTAATATACCATCGACTCCTAGGAGAACAAACAGGTTTGTCCTGGAGAGGGTGAAACCAGATTGCTCCATGGAGACAAGGATTCTGAAGTTCTGTCTGACATTGGGCATGTCACAAGGAGAGACCAGTCCTTGGAAAGGGACTTCATGCCTGAGAGGGTGGAAGGACAGCACAAGAAAGGAAGACCCTGGATGAGATGGATTGACTCAGTGAGTCGGGTTATGGACATAGGTGTGTCAGAGACATGAGGTTGGCTCAGATAGAGCAGAGTTCAGAGCTGTTGTACATAGGATCACTAAGAGTTGCAAGTGACTCAACGGCACTTAACTGTCATTGTAAAATGTTTGAACTGGGAAGAAAATTGAAGCTCCTAGAGGCAATAATTTGTTGTGATCTGTACAGTCAGAAGCCTTTGCATAGTCAATAAGATATAATTTGTCATCCTTCTAGGGACCTCTCTCTGGTAGCTTGGTGGTAAGAAGCTGTGCTGCATTCCCAAAGGCACCTGGTATGTGCAGTCTCCTCCCATGTGATTTACAGTCACTGAGAACAGGCTAGAGGATCAGCTATGAATCAGTTCCGACTTGGCAGCCTGCAACAAGAACATAAACCATCATTCTAGAATTGTGCAACAGAATAAAATGGCTTACGTCCAGTGCCCTGTGAATAGTTCTTTCTCTTCTCTTTGTCTTTGTTGTTGAGTTGGAACTGACTAGCAACCCACCCCACCCTGCTGGGATTGGGGGTGGTCTCTCCTCCCGTGGAGATAGAGTAACTTGCTGAAGTTCTCATAGCTAAAAGAGGTAGAAAACCAGTGGATGTTTGAGATTTCAATGATAACATTTGAGCAGAGCAAAACCTGAGGGAAATAAATCTAGAAATTATTCAGTGGAATTGAAAAAAAAATTAATATACATCTATGGAAAGAGTTTCTGGGTGGTGCAGAGGGTTAGCACACTGAACTGCTAACCAAAAGGTTGATAGTTCGAGTCTATCCAGAATCACTTTGGAAGAAAACCCTGGCAATTTGTTTCTGAAAAATCAGCTCTTGAAAACCCCGTAGAACACAGTTCTACTCAGACACACGTGGAATTGCCATGACTTGGAATCACTACAGGACAGTTCGCTTAGTACATCTATGAGAAGAAACTCTCAAGAGAAAGGGTTTCAGTTACATATTTTCAGTTTACATTTGAATTGAGAAATACAACATCAAAAAGGTTTTGAGTCCCACTCTAAACACACCCTCTCCTGGGGATTTCCTCAGTAAGTGGAGCCAAGCAAATTATATTGCAGTGTACAGCTTGAGGCTGAGAAGTTTGTTTTATTGACACAGAAAGTACAAGTGCCTCTTGTCAATAAGAGACTGGATAAAGGAGCTACAAGAACTATCTTTGAATAGTTCCTACTAGATCTTGTGACCTAGCTTTGAAAGCAGTAGAAGTTAAAAAAACCTTAACATAGCATGAATTTTCAATAAGCTGTTAACTAAAGTTTGAGATTTCCCCCTATCATAGAAGATAGGATGGAGTGAAAACAATTGATTCTCAAACTTCTTTGGATACTTACAGAAGAGCTTCACTGTGGGGTGGAGTGGTGAGTGGGACTGAGTTTGAAAAATTCACCATATAGAGAAGAGAAGCAAGCTGAAAGGTAAGAGACTGCAAGGTGATATTTACAGACCCAGATGGAGCAGCACTGGTCAATATGATATTGATTTCTACTCATGGTGAGAATTGAACAGAAAATGTCAAAGAGCAGCTCAAGAAGACAAAGGAAAACACTATAACCAAATGTGCAAAGAGCTGGGGTCAGAAAATCAAAAGAGAAGAACTTGCATTTCTCAGGCTGAGAGTCCTGAGGGACAAATTCATAGCTCAAGTTGCAATACTGAAGGGTGCTATGGGCAAACTTGAATGATTCATGAAGCATCAAAAGGATTACACAGTCACTATTGTGACTTCAGCTTGCTTGGCTCAGCAGTCAACACTCCTGGTAGTAGCAGCCAGGAAATAAAAAGATGAATTGCATTAGGTAAATCTGCTGTCAGGGGCCTCTCCAGAGTACTGCATAGCAGCGATATCCATCTAGAGACTAAGGCACATCTGATCTAGGCCATGATCTTTGCAATTACTTGTATGTAGCAGAAAGCTGAATAATGACTAAGGATGATAGAAGAAAAATTGAGTTGAGTTGTATTGCTGGAGAAGAGTATTGAATATACCAAGGACTTCTAGGAGAATAAACAAATTGGTCCTGGAGAGGGTGAAACCAGGTTGCTCCTTGGAGGCAGGGATTTTGAAGCTCTATCTGACTTACTTTGGTCATGTTGCAAAGAGGGATCAGTCCTTGGAGAGGGATATCATGCTTGGAAGAGTCGGGGGACAGCAAGAGAGAGGAAGACCCTGGATAAGGTAGATTAACTCAGTGACTAGGGTAGTGAGGGTAGGTGTGTCAGAGACAGTGAGGTTGGTTCAAGATAGGCCTGGGTTCAGAGCTGTTGTACATTGGGTCACAGTGAGTTGCAAGTGACTCAACAGCACATAACAACAACATGCCAAAAAAGAATTGGCTGGCACACAACAGTTTCAGGAAGTAGAATAATGTCAAGAACCAATGGTAATAATGGGGAATATTCAAGCTGCACTGAAGGCATTGGCAAAAAAATAAGGACATTTACAGGATACCAGTTCTATCAAATAGATGACATATTCCATCAAATCGATGCGGCTGTAGATGTGCACACCAGGTTGTGCCAAGAAATCTGGAGAATCAACTACCCGGCCAACTGACTGGAAGAAATCCATATTTGTTCCCATTCCCAAGAAAAGTGATCCAACAGAATGTGAGAATTATAGAACAGTTTCATTAATATCACATGCAAGCAAAATCTTGCTGAAGATTATTCAAAAACAGCTTGAACATTATAGTACCAAAGAACTTCCAGAAATTAAGACTGGATTTAGAAGAGGTCCTAGCACCAGGGATTGCAGCAGAGAATACTAGAAGGATGTCTATCTGTGTTTTGTTGACTATGCAAAGGCATTTAACTGAGTGAATTATAACAAATTATGGCTAACACTGAGAAGAATGGGAATATCAGAACAATTGTGTTCATGGGAGACATAGACCAGGAAGCAATAATATGAACAGAGCAAAGAAACACTGCATTTTTCAAGATCAAGAAAGGTGTTCATCAGGAATGTATCCTTTCTCCATACTCAATTTGTATGCTGAACCGATCATTCAGGAAGCTGGACTTTATGAAGAAAGTGACATCAGGATTGGAGGAAGACCTGTGTTGGGCAGATGACACAAATTTACTTGCTGAAAGTGAGGACTTAAAGTACTTGCTGCAAAACATCAAGGACTATGACCTTCAAAATGGATTGCATCTGAGCATCAAAAAATCCTCACCCCCATGCCAATGGGCAATATCAGGATAGATGGAGAAAAGATTGCAGTTGTGAACAATTTCTTCTCACGTGGATCCACAATTTCTTCTTACTTGGATTCACAGTCAACATCCTCCTTGGTACCAGTAGTCAAGCAATCAAAAGATAAGTTGCATCAGGAAAATCTGCTGTTAAAAACCTCTCAAGAGTTCTAAAAGGCAACAATAGCCGTTTAAAGACTAAAGTGCATCTGATCCAAGCTGTGGTTTTTTCAGTCACTTGGTGTGCAACTAAAAGTTGGACAATGACTAAGGATAACAGAAAAATTGACACTTTTGAGTTGTGTTGTTGGAAGGAATAGCCCATGCACTGCCAAGAGAAAAAATAGGTTTATTCTGGAGAAAGTGAAACCAGGGTCCTTCTTAAAGGCAAAGATAGTGAAATTCAGTCTCACATACTTTGGCATATTGTTAGGAGGGACCTAGTCCTTGGACAAGGACATCTTGCTTGGAAAGGTGGAGGGTCAGCCTAAGAGAAGACCCTCAATGAGTTGAATTGACACAGTGACTGTAACAATGAGCTCAGGTGTGTCAGAGGTGATGAAGAGGGCACAAGATGTGGCAAGATTCAGAGTCATTGTGCATAGGGCGCTATGAGTTGTAGTCGACACGACAACACATAACATCAAGTTGTTGTTGTTGTTGTGTGCCATTGAGTTAGAACCAACCCATAGCTAACCCTCTGGCAGGTTTTCAGAGGCACAGGAGGAGAGGAAAGTATACACCATAGGATTTTCAATGGCTGATTTTTCAGAAATAGTCACCAGAAAGTCTTGAAAGAATAGCCATAATACTCCTTAGAGAGGTGATACTCTATTTTGCTTACATTGGGCATGTCCTCAAAATGGACCAATCTTTAGGGAAGGTCATCATGCTTGGCAAAGTGGAGGTTGAATGAAAAACAGACTTTGAATGAATTGGACTGGCAACGTGCCGGTAACTGAGCTGCAACATGCCTGCTATTGTGAGGATGGCCCAGCACCAGGACAACAGTTCATCTGTTGTACAGAGAGATCTGTGAGTCACGGTAACCTGACTCACCTGACAACAGTGGAGAAAGTATTCACTGATTAGAGAGATTTCTAGAGAATATCTAGAGTTAGTCCTCACTTTTCTCTACTATTAGATGCCTCTTAAGCTAAATCTTGCTTGTGAATCATAACCCAAAATTTTAAAATTTTATTGTAGTTTGAGTGAATGTGTAAAGTCAGTTGGTTTTCCATTAAATCATTCACACAAGCTTTATTTTATGATATTAAGTACAATCCCTACAATGTAACAATGTTCCTCCCACTACCTTCCTGTGATTCACATTCCCATTTATCCTTTTATCTTATCCCCTCTTGCCTTTTGAGCTTTCTCCCTGGGCAAATCCTGACCATTTGATATTATATGATTCATTGTTCTAAGGAGTGAGTGCTTCCCCCATGTTATTGTTCACTTTAAAAACATGCTGATTGTTTATTGAATTTAGTTCTGGGATCAAAGAGTTAATAAAAACTTGAGTTTTTAGGAGTCTACCAGACTTTATTAGACTAATAAGCCTGGTCCTTTTGATATTTTGGAGGAAGTGCAACCAGAATGCTCCTTAGAGGCAAGAATGGTGAAACTTCATCTCACATACTTAGGGCATGTTGTCAGGAGAGACCACTCCTTGGAAAAATGACATTATGTTGGGAAAGGTAGAGGTTCAGTCAAAGAGAGGAAGACCTTCCGTGCAATGGATTGACACAGTCACTGCCACAGGGGGCTTGAGCCTTACAGATTATGGGAATAATGCAACTAGGACAAGGTGGAGAGCTGTTGTTAATAGCGTTGCTGTAAATCCCAGGGGACTCAAAAGCACCTAACAACAGCATTGTTAATGGGAGTTCTGGTGTAATGTGTTGGTCTACTAAGCAAAAAGCCAACATTGTTTAGTTTTAGGAATATTAACTTTTCCATGGTGAAGAAATAAAATATTCCCCCCTTTTATTTATTTATTTGTAGGATATGTTTTTATCAGTAAGATATGTCAAGATTCAGACTTAATCCAGTCTTGCCTTAAAGATTTGATCTGAGGAAAATAGAGAAGGATTATCTCACCCTAATTGGGAGAACAGACTGCCACCCATTAGATAGGGGGCACCTTTGGTAGTTAATGAGTCGCAGGCGACTCGGCGGCACATAACAACAACATTCCTATAAGGGAGCTCTGGTGACCTAGTGGTAAGAAGCAGCACTGCAATCCCAAAGGCCCAAAGTTTGAATCCACCAGCTGCTCTGTGGAAGAATGGGCATTCTCCTCCTGTGCAATTTACTGCCTTTGAAAGCCTCCTGGAGGGTCAGCTGTGTGTCAGTTCCAACTTGATGGCACACAACAATAGCAGCAACATTCCTAAAGGGGGCTCTGGTGACTTACTGGAAAGGAGTTGCATGGCCAGTTCCAAAAGTATGTGGTTCGAATCCACCAGTTCCCAGCTGTCTTGTGATTTACCATCTGTGAAAACTCTAGAAAGTCAGCTGTGGGTCATAATAACAACTTTACAATTCCATTTTCTTTTGCAGGGTCCGTGGTTGGTGTTGTAAAGGAAGTGAATGTGAATCCATGCCCAACCCAGCCATGCCAGTTACACAAAGGACAGTCTTACAGTGTCAATGCCACCTTCACAAGCAGTGAGTAAAATGACTGTTACACTCAAATGAATCCTGAAGTATAATATGCATCTTAAATATAGGAACGAGTGTGAGAGGGTAAGGAAGTTAGCATTCAGTCAGGAGTTCTGTGATCGCACTTCTAACTCATTAAAAGCTAAGAGTCACTACGGTATTACATAACCTTTCTCATACTGGTCTTTTATATACCAATATTTAATACTCAGCAATCTGTAAGATTTAGGAAATCCTGTAGAGACCCAAGAAGCAACCAAGAAATTTATTTCTTTTTCAACTTGAAGAAATATTAGGAATTTATTGCTTGTTTATACTTCAGTCATTGTCTTTAGACTCCCAAGAACCTAAACAAATGCAAAATGGTATCTCTAATAGTCCATCTACTTTGATCCTTCCTTCATTTTCTGTTTTGTGGAACTAAACTAAATAGTCTTGTTCCATAGGATGAGAAATCTAGGTTTTGATTTTGTTTTTAAGCCCAAAGACTGCTTTAAGTACTAGCACCTGGCTACAAACGAAACTTACCTTCACAGAAAAGAAAGTTATCCCCAACTTGGAGAGACCCAGAGCCAATCAATACTTTCTCAGTCTTCAAAATACACTAATCGTCATAGCTCTAGTTGCCCTGATTTCATAGTATCTTTCTCTTTCTTGCCAACCGTCTGAGCTTATCTTGTGAGATACCGGGTTAGCAGGAAATACACCTTTTTTCTATTCTTGCCTAGTTTCTGAAAGTTTTACTCCTTTCTCCTTATTACAGCCCATGCCATGGCATTTCTATGGGAGTTCTTTATTCTGTATTTTTTCCATATTACCATTCATTGGATTGTTAATTTCTTTTGGAATACTCTGAACATGAATAGGACTGGGTATTTGAGAATTCAGAAGATCAGTCTCTAAGACTTTTGAAGACACATGATATTCTTTGATGTCGTTGTTTGTTGTTGTTATGTGCCTTCGAGTCGCTTGCGACTCATAGCGACCCTATGTACAGCAGCCCTAAACTCTGCTCTGTCCTGTGCCAATCGCACTGTCTCTGATACTCCCATCCCAATTATCCCAGTCACTGAATCAATCCACCTCATAGAGGGCCTTCCCCTCCTGCGCTGTCCCTCCACCCTCCCAAGCATGATGTCCTTCTCCAAGGACCAGTCTCTCCTCACAACATGTCCAAAGTATGTTAGACGGAGCCTCAGAATCCTTGCCTCCAAGGAGCCACCTGGTTTAACCCTTTCCAGGACAAATCTGTTTGTTTTCCTAGCAGTCCATAGTATTCTCAATACTCTTCTCCAGCACCACAGCTCAAAGGCATCAATTCTTCTTCTATCCTCCTTGGTCATGGTCCAACTCTCTGATGCATAACAAGTGATTGCAAAGACCATGGCCTGCATCAGACGCACCTTAGTCTCCAGAGAGACACCATTGCTTTTCAGTACTTTGGAGAGGTCCCTAACAGCAGACTTTCCTATGGCAATGTACCTTTTAATTTCCTGGCTGCTGGTGCCAAGACTGTTGACTGTGGAGCCAAGCAAACTAAAGCTGTGTACAATCTCAATCTCTTCACCATCCATCCTGATGCTGCCAATTGGCCCAGTGGTGAGAATCTTTGTCTTCTTGACATTGAGCCTCAATCAATTCTTTGATAGAAACATTAAATTTATTGCCAAAGACCAATTACCTTGTTAGATAAGATTATTTGTCTAGGAAGCTCAGATTTTCCTGAGAAGCTATGAAAGACTGCGAAGCACACACTGGGATTAGAGAAGAAAACCCAGACAGCTCCTGTGGATTTGTGTCTTTTCCCCCCCTTTTTCATAATTCATTAATATTTCAAGTTTTCAAGTGAATGCTTGGTCATTGTTTAGTATGAAGCATAACAACAAAGAGATATGGACCCTTGGAATCATAAGCTTTATGATGTGTTTTAATAATGATGCTGTAGCTTGAAAATATATCTAGAGATTTTACTTGGTGTTTGGAAATGGGCTATTTGCCTTATAATCTGATTCTTTCTCTCTTTTTTCCTTTGTAGATACTTATTCCCAAAATAGCACAGCCTCGGTGTATGGCATTATATTAGGTGTTGACGTTCCCTTTCCTATTCCTGAGTCTGATGGTTGTAAGAGTGGCATTGACTGCCCCATCCAAAAAGACAAAACATATAGTTACCTGAATAAACTACCAGTGAAAAGTGAATATCCTCAAGTAAGTGGATTGGTGTTGAGGACCCTGGAGGTTTTGTGACTAGGTTCAAAGTACAAGAAGAGGAAGTGTAACAGGGAGTCTACTGGAACACGGGGTCTTTGGGTTTCTACTTTGCATGATAAAGAAGCAAAATCCTGAGGAAAAGGAAATTAGGCTTGACTCTTGGGAGATACTTTTTATTGTGTTCTTTAACAGTGGCCTACTGGTTAACCTCATGTAAAAAGGGTGCCATTTTTACTATGTTCCACTTAATTCTCATGGTCACCCTATGTAGAGATAATGCCCTTTTATACAGATGGAGAATCTGAATAGCAGTTATGTAATATGGGCAGGATCTATACCAATTGGAAATATTATAGCCTAAGTTTAGAGTTTGGTCTTGTGACTCCCAAAATCTGTGGGCAATGTTAAAAGATATTAGCCAGATACAAAGTAGTTCAAGATCAAAGCTGTCTTAGCTCTGCAATCAGAAAAATCTCCTGGCTTTTTTAACCATTTAATAAAACAAAGGTAGTTTGTTAGCACCACAGTAGAGAAGTAGCTTTTCCCAATCTTCTCTCTCTGCCTCCTTTGGCCTACTCAGCCAGACCTTTTTGCCTACCAACATCTTCTGAGGCTAGATCCTGCTTCAGTGAGCAATGTACTAAAGGTATGAAGTGTGACAAGAAGGGCGAAAGGTAAATTAATTATATTTTTACAGGGGAAAAAAGAGCTACATTTCTTGATAGGAAGTTAACAAGAACCCTGTGACTACTATCTGACCATTTCTTTTCTACACAAAGAAGGTACTTTTCTAGAAAAGGACATTCTAAAGACATATACGAAGTCTGTACTTCAAAGAAATTAGAGATGGGGGGAAAGTTATAAAAACTTCTTAATCATGACCATGGCCTGAATCAGGCGCATCTTGGTCTTCAAAATTATATCAGTACTCCTTAGTAATTTGGAGAGGTCCATGACAGAGAACTTGCCCACTTTCTTGACCACTGTTACCAAGAGTGTTGATTCTGGATCCAAGTAAGATGAAATCATAGACAATTTCAGTTTTTTCTCTGTCTGTCATGATGCTGTGTAGTGGTCCAGTGATGACTGTAGCAGTGAGCTCAGATGTTCAGAGTTGATGAGGATGTACAGGAGAGGACAGAGTTCAGATCTGTTGTTCATAGGGTTGCTGTGAGTTGTACTTGACTGGACCACAACTAACAATCATAACCAGTTACTGTGGAAGAATTAGTTACTAGTCTTAGGACCTTTCAGCCATAGTTTCTGGGGATATCAAGGTCAATTAACATAACATAGTCCACAAGACAATATTTCACATCCTATTTTGATGAATATTGGCTGTGCCTCACTCATTACTGTTGAGTTGGAACCAACTCATAGCTGACCCTCCAGTGGGTTTTCAAAGGCTATGAATTGCTGAGAAGAAATTGTGTATATTCCTCCAAAGGGCAACTGGTTGATTTGAATCATGTAATGACAACTAATGACTGGTGTGCCGAACAAAGAAGAGGAAAGAAAAGCAAAGACTCATAGAAACAGTTTAGTCCAAGGGACAGTCTCAACTTCTAGGACCCTGAGACCAGAGTAACTGGGTGGTATCTGGCTACCACTGCTGGCTGCTCTAAAGGGGATCACACTAGAAGGCCCTGGTCAGAGTAGGAAAATAATAGGAAACAAAACTCAAAAACATCAAAATGACTAGGCTTGCTGGTCTGATAGAGACTGGTGGAAGCTCTTAGATTAGGATGACCGTTAGTCATCCTTTGACCTTACAACTCACCCCCACTGTCAGCCAAACATTGATGTTGTTAGGTGTCATAAAGTTGGGTAAGACTCATCGCGACCCTGTGAATAAGAGATCTGAACCTTCCCTCATCCTGTGGCCTCCTCATAATCTCTTCACACACTTGCGCCCATTGCTGCAGCCACCATGTCAGTCTACCTGCTTGATGGTCTTCCTCTCTTTCACCATCCCTCCACCTTCCCAAACATGATATCACCCTCCAGTGAATAGCCTCTCCTAGCAACGGGCCCAAAGAATGTGAGACAAAGCTTTGTCGTTCTTGCCTCCAAGGAGCGCTCTGGCTGCACCTTCTCCAAGACAGATCTGTTTGTTCTTTTAGCAGTCCAGGGATATTCAGCCAAACAATAGGCAGGTCTGTAAGGTGAACAGCGACACTAGGGAAGGTCTCGCTCCTTGGTCATACAGTTAGCCATACAAGATCAAAAGGGCAGCATTTACCCTGAGAAGATGGCAAAGGTTAGACTAGAAAAATGTATGGAAACGAGAATTAGAGCAGAAGCTGGAAGAATGCCATTTTGATGTGGGATTTATACTTAATATCATAAACCAGAATGTGTTTGAATGGACCATCAATTTGTCAGGAACAGATTTGTAGGTTAATTTGCTGCATCAGTCTAATCATGAACATTTTTGAATTTCCATTAAGCTGAAGGAGAGGCATAATGTCTTTCAGAACCTGCAGGTTCTGAACACATGACTAGTTATGTCTTTTTTTTCTTTCTTGTTGTGTACCATCCAATCAGATCCAGCTGGCACATGAGGAGATTGACTCTCCTCCAGCAGAGCATCTGGTGAATTCAAATCTCGTTCCTTTGGGAATGAAGCACAGTTTTTTGCCACTTGGCCACCAGAGCTCCCTTAGTTATTTTAAGTGAATTACATTTCATTTTAAAATCGTTTCAGATAAACAGTATTAGTTTAAGCACTAGTGAAAATGTAGTTAATGTGTACTAGTCTTGAAAGACTTACAAAACATGTTCCAATGAGCCATGTCACTTAAGTATTGTGTAAAGAAGAATTTTCAATACAAAAGAGAAGTAGTAACTTATGACAAGCTAATATCCACATAAGAAAGGGCCAGCCATAACTATAGGCAGTTGTATGCTTGAGAATTCACTCAGTCACTCACCAACTCAGTGCCATCGAGTCAGAGCTGACCCATGGATCACCCTCCAATGGATTTTCAGAGACTATAAATAAATAAGTCACATAAGAGGAGATTGCCTACTTAATCCCACAGAGAATTTGGTGGATTCACACTACCTGCTTTGAGTGGTAGATTAGCTTCCTCGTATAAGAAACAGAAGGTCTATTTATACGCAACCCATATTGAAATTATTAAATGCAAGCATAAAACATAGAAAATCATTCTGTCCCAAATGATACCAGTGCTTCCTCAGTGAGACGTGCAAGGTTACTGAATGTAGCTGAAGGAGCCAAAAAGGGGCATGAAAAAGTATGACAAGAATGTATTCCCAGACCTCTGCTTCAGTGTTACCAGCAGACAGTGGACCTGTTAAATACAATTTCTCTATTGAAAAGTGATCCAAATTTTAGAAGCAAATCCCATGAGAAGCTGGTCTGCATTGTGGCATCAGGACTGGAGGAAGACACATAAGCAACCTGCTTTGTACAGATGACATGACCTTGTTTCCTGAAGAAAAAAGAAAAGAAAAGCTGATCTAAAAATTATAAGTGAGACACGACAGTCTATACTAGTCATACACAGATTATTAGGTGCTTTTTATGTCAAATATTACCAAATTCAGAAAAAAAATTGTAAAAAAAATCCAGCCTTTTCACTTAAAATCTGGATCAAAATGCCAAATACGTAGGAAGTTGTTAGAACTTAAAATTTTAATTTTCATATAATACTTCAGGAGTTGTGTTTGGTAATTAGGTTAATGTATGGTGCTGCTGATGTCAAATCAGCAGTTATATACCTATAACATAGTTTACTCTTCAGTTTCAGGGAGAGGAGCAAATGGGGGGGGTGGGGTTGTGCGGGGAGAAGGGTGCAACAATGAATGAATGGAATTCCAAAATCTCTGTAGATGTTCATTGAAATGAAAAATAAACTAAATTTTAAAAAAAAGTAACTTTTATGATGACCTAACTTGAAAAGTATGAGGAATTGGGCAATTTGTTAAAAGTCTACATCCAAAGATAATTAAACCAATTATGTACTGATGCTAGGTCCTACTTTAATTTTTCTTTCCCCTCCCTCCTTTTTTTTTCAGATAAAACTGGTGGTGAAGTGGCTACTTAAAGATGACAAAGGAAAATATCTCTTCTGCTGGGAAATCCCGTTAGAGATCATATCCTAGAGATATTCTATGCCAATATGTCTATGTAGGGTTGAAAGGCCATGATTGAGGGGAAGGGAACTGGAGGAGATATCAATTCAGAAATGAAATCAGTGCCATAAGAAGAAATGTCCAGATTACTGTTGTATGCCTTAAAAAATCTCCAAGACGCTTATGTCTCCTTTTGTAAAAAGGCTTGAGAAAAGGGTTGAAACTCTAGAACTCCAGAGACTATCTTGTCTTCAGTGTTCTTTACAGGTGTAACAGAGGTGAGAACACAGGACCTGAGGCAATTGCTTAGGGATATCAGACAACATGCCTTTATTTCATTGGCCCTCACATAGGAGGACAGGTTTGAAATTGCATCTATCCAGCTGGGCTGTTATACCCACAAATTCTTTGTCTTCAAGTACCTCATTGAGTTCATGCATCTGGCCAAATCAACATCTCCAGCCCCATTGGTTTAACACTCACTGCATTGTTGCCCAGCAATTCACAGATACTCAACTCTGGATGGCTGATGGTTCACTCTGGTTGTCTCTTGTCTCCTTTCCTGCCTTAGATTTTATTTTCTTATTATTACTATTATTTTTTTTTATGCAGCACATGGTCAGATGTTTGGGGGGTTTTGTTGTTATTTTAACATTATTAACTTGTGGCATTGTTACACACCTAGAAATCTCTCTTTGAATAAAGACTTGCCAATTTTGTCTTCTGCCTTTGGGCTGCCATTGCCTTCTTTCAGTGAGAATTGTGTCTAGGTCCATGGAAGGTGGGCACCCAGTTATAGGGAGACTCTTGACAGCACACAGATTTGCTCCCTTGTATTCTGCCCTTTCTCCACCTGGTACCCAATTAGATCACACTCATCTACTTTATACAAAGCAATCTTCTTGCTTTGTTCTATTTTTTTTTCTTTGTTCTACTTTGCCTGAACTTGTAACCAAAGTTTGTGGTGTTGGAGTTACCAAGGATTCTTAAAAGAGGAAATGAAAACAGATATCATCTAATTAAGTAATATTAAACACCTGAAGTGTTGAGAGAGCTGAATTTCAGGACTGGAAGGAGGGATTAGGGGTTGCATGCTACTGTGGAGAACCTCTGCCATGCTTAAATATTTTTAAATGCAATGTAAAAATTTAGATGCCTTAGAGCCTTGCAGAATAAAACATTACAGCATGTAATGACTAAATGGTCAGACCTTGGAATAGCCTGCTTTTTTTGACATAGGAGTGTCACTGTGGGCAAATATTTTCCTATCAGCTTTGAGTCAATGAAAAACAGTCCACTACCATTGAGTTGACTCCAACTCACCTCCACTATGTCTCTGAGGCTATAAATCTTTATGAGAGAAAACTTTTTTCCTTTCTCCTTCAGAGCATCTTGTGGGTTCTTTCAGTTAGCAGTGAAACACTTAAGGAAATATGCCACAAGTGTTCTTCACTCAATTAACTGTTACCAGTCAGAGATTAGAACCTTAATCACAAATAAATTGAGTAATGTGAACTTTGGAAGGTCATCTTGTATTAAGTTACCCTATGAATGAAGCAGATGATTGGTTTGGTGGTGTTTTTTAATCCCTAAAATAAAAATTCATTGCTATCAAGTTGATTTGGTAACTCTCCATTGGGTTTCTGAGGCTGTTGGTCTTTACAGGAGGAAACTGTCCATCTTTGTCCGTGGAGCAGCCAGTGGGTCCAAAGCACTAGCCTTTTAGATGCAGCACACCACACCACATCATGCTGGGAAAGGTGGGCAGTCAGAAAGAGGGGAAGACTCTCAACAAGGTAGACTGACACAGCAACTGTCACAGTGGGCTTGAGCATGTCAGGACCATGGGATGGCTCAGGATAGGCCTCAGATCTATTGTTCATAGGGTTGCTGTGAGTAATAGTAGACTCATTTGCAACTAACAACATCACAACCCCACCACCAGGGATCCTTGGTTATATTTTGTTGCCGTGTACCATAAATTCAAAACTTGACTCATTGCTGCCTCTCCAGGCAGTTTTCAGGGGCACTAAATTGCAGGGGAGGAGATTGCCCTTCTTTCTCCCATGAAGCAGTTGGTGGATTCAAACCACTAGACCCTGGAATTTCTTTGCCCTCAGGAAAACTTTTTTTAGTTTCCCAGGAAAACCACCAGGGGACAGCAGCAGATCAGGAATAAAGTTCTCCACAGCCAAGATTTGCTTGCTAATTCCTAGTGTAAAATCTTACATGTATCCATCACGTTGTTTCTAGAAGGAAAGCCCAACCTTTGCCACCTCCTAGAAGTGTAAGAACCGCAAGCATTCCAGAGGTGATGGGTGGTAACTGGTCATTTTGTCTTTGTTTTCAGCATGCTTGATTGAGATTGAAGTCTGCCTTCATTAATAGGACTCAAAATGAGACCTTTAAATACTTGTATTTTGTGTCTCATTTTCCTCTTAAAAAGAGGACAGTGGCTTTACATGAGATGGTTTCTGTGAAACACAGGAACCCAGCAAGTAGCGTATTCTCAGTCAATGTTAGTAATTCTAGGAGACAGAAACTTCCTGAGGTGTCTGGACCTAGAAAAGCTGAGGCTCCAGTGTCTGCTAGCTCCCTATCCCCAGAAGAGCTCTCCTGTCATTTATCTCCTTTGAGATTAACAGCTGTCTGCCCTGATGTGTTAGGAAGGGAAAAAAAGCAGTTCAGTTAGTGTATAGGCTCGATCAGAGCAAGGTAAAGCAACAGCTTGTGACTGTTTACCTGCCATTGTGAGGCTCTGTGAAGCCTGCAGCAGGGAGCTAGGTGAGGGCTCCTGTGGGGGATTAGTTTGAAAGGTCTTCTGTACAGACAGTTCCCAGGTGTCCCCCAAGTCATTAAATCATTGAGAAGTAATGCATCTTGAACTATTTATATAAAAAAGGTCATGCTCTTTACAATGACAGCCTCATGCTTTTCTAGTGCACTGAGCAAGCTGTGGAAGCTTGGACACTCTTCATGAATTCCAGGGCAAGGTGCTGTCACTTCTGCTTAAAGAATAAAAAGTTTCCAACACCTAGTATTCCTAATATGATTAAGAGGCTTACAATTTAGTCAAATTTCCCTTCATGCTGTGAAAGGTAGTTGTTAGGTGCCATCAAGTTGACAACAACTCATGGTGACCCTATGAAGAACAGATCCAACCATTGTCCTATCCTACACCATCCTCAAAATCTCAAGTCTATACAGTCACTATGTCAATACTACTTGAGGATCTTCCTCATCTTTCCCATATCTGACCTTTACCAGCTTCACAAAGAGGAATTGTTCCTGTTAACAACATAAAACTAATTCCCATGAGGTCAAACATGTCCACATGCTCCCACACCTCTTTCTACTCATCCCAACACCAATCTTAATGCTTTACTGGGTTCACAATACAATGTAGCTCACAGACCACCCGAACTATATGAGGCAAATAAAAAAATTTCAGGTTAGTAGCAGAATACAGTTAGGACGGCTTCCGAAATGTGCTCGTAGGTACCTCAGCATTGAGCCTCAGGCTTTAGGCCAATGTTAAAATTCTCAGCCCTGCCAGTTATGGCTCTTCTCCCACCCCCTAGTCCTCCAACAAACTCAGGCAAAGACTCTTAGCTTTGGGTCACCATGGAGTCACAGTCCAAGATCCACTCCATCTCAAGTCAGCTCTCAGGTTCTCTGCTGTTACTCTGCCTGGGGTTCCCATAGGCCATGGACTGGTTGGCGCAAGAATCCGTGGGTCTTAAGGATGCATTTCACTCTCCTGCTGTTGCTTTGTTTGCTGATAGGGAAGATTCTCCAATTCTGCTGTTGGATCTGTTCAATTTAATGGTGAGATTAGCTAATCCCCTTGTAGACAAGCTAGTTCATCCTATTCACATATTCCTGTCCATCCATATGGCAAAGTCAGAAGATGGCTGGGAAAGCCATTTTGAACAATAAACTTTTTTCCTTTAATTTATTATTAATTTCAATGAAAATTTAGAGAGACTTTGGATTTCCATTCATTCATTATTGCACTTTTCTTCTCTCCCAACCCTCTCCCCTAGTACCCTCTCGGAAAAGTAAAAGAAAAATTCTTTCATTGTTTTACAGTCCCTCCCCCCAGGTCCACTCCACTATGCAGCCTTCACTCTTGACTCCTGTCATGACCTAATCAATAAACTCTTAACACCACACTGTCCTTTTCCAGAGACTGGTCCCTCCTGACAACACGCCTAGAGTATATGAGTAGTTTCATAATCTCTGCCTCGAAAGAACACCCTGCTTACACTTCCTCCAAGACAGACCTATTTGTTCTTTGTACTTGCCACAATTCAAAGGCGTTGACTGATTCTTCTAGTGTCATCCATAGTCATTGTCCAACTTGTTTGACATACATTTAGCCTCGGAGGTAATTGAAAAGACCATGCTTTGCATCAGACACACCTTAGCCTTTAAATTAACATCCTTGCTCTTTAGCACTTTGGAAACATTATTTTTCATTGTTGCACATTTTATTTTCCCTCTCCCCTCCCAACTTCCCAGCCCTCCCTGCAAGGCACCCCTTGTTCTAGATTTTTGTTACACATATGGAAACATTCTTGACAGCAAATTTTCCCAAGGCAACATGTCTTCTGATTTCTTGACTGCTAGTACCAAGGATGTTGATTGTGGATCCAAATAAAGTTAGTTAAGCAATAAATTCAGTATTTCCCCCCATTTCATTGACCCGGTGGTGAGGATTATTGTTTTCTTTATGTAACTCATAATTGAAAATTGCAGTCTTTGATCTTCTGAAGCAAATATTTCAAGTCCCCTTCTTAGAACAAACAAGGTTGGTCATCTGCATAGCACAGATTGTTGATGAGTCTTCTTTCAATCCTTATGTCACATTTTTCTTCATATAGTCTAGCTTTTCAAATGATTGTTCAGCAGAGATTGAATTGGTCTGGAGAAAAGATACAATCCTGATTCACACCTTCCCTAATTTTAAATCATAAATTTTTCCCTTGTTTTGTTCAGACAGCAACAACTTCTTGGTCTAGGAATAGGTTTTGTATGAACATAGCGAAGTGTTCTGAGTTCTCGTGTTTCTCAATGTTACTCACAATTTGTCATGATTCACACAGTCAAATGTCTTTGCTTAGTCAATAAACACAGGTAAATATCTTTCTGGTATGCTCTGTCTGCTTCAAGCCAAGATCCATCTGATATCAGCAATGATATCCCTTTTGCCTTGATGACTTCTAAATCCAGTTTGAATTTCTAGCATTTCCCCACTGATAGACTGTTTGAGCTGTTTTTTACCGATAATATTCAGTAAGATTTTATTTGCATGTGATATTAATGATATTGTTCTATAATTTCTACCTTCTGTTGAATCATCTTTTTCTTTGGAATGGCAACAAATATTCATCTCTTCCAAATAGTTTTCCAGGTAACTGTCTTCCAGATTACTTGGCATAAAGTAGTTAGCGCATTCAGGCCTGCATTTTTTTGTTGAAACATGTCAATTGGTATTCTGTCAATTCCTGGGCAGCCTTTTCTTGCCAATGTTTTCAGCCAGCTTAAACTTCCTTCATTACCATTGATTCTTGATTATATGCTACTTCCTGAAATGGTTCGATGTCAATCAATTCTTTTTGGTACAGTGACTCTGTGTATTCTTTCCATCTTCTTTTTATTTCTTCAGTTCTTAAAAAAATTTTTGTTATATTGATTTGTTTACAAAGTTAGTATACATTGTGTTTCATACTATCCTTTAATCACATTGTGTTTCATAACAATCATTCCCATTTATTATGTGTTATAAAATGAATTACCATTATACATAATTTTTCATAGTTTGTATACAGTTTTTCACACAAAATTATGTATATGAACTTCATAAGTTAACCAATATAAAAGAAAATTTATATTGGTGAGTGAAATATCTCAGTCACAAAGGGACAAATACTGCATGGTGCCACTGTTGTAGAATGGGTCTGACATCAGGGTGGGGGTATGACAGAAAAAACTGGATAAATTATGTATATTGTATTGAAACAGATGAGGGAAAGAACAGATTAGAAGTGATATATGATTGAGTATTATGGTTAGCACAGGAATCCAGAATTAAGGTTGCATAGAGAAGTGTACTTGGGGTGGGGGTTGGGGGGAAGGAACGTGGGAATTGTATACTAATGAAGGAATTTTTTTTCTCCATTCGGAGGGGGAAGTGAGCTGATGGGGAGGGGTGGGCAGGGAGAAAATTGCAGCAATGAATGAATGGAAATCCAAAACCTCTGTAAAGAAAAAAAAATATTCTCAAAAAAAAAAGAAAATTTTATTGTCAATTAAAAAAAATAATTACCATTTAATTATTCCCACCATTACCTTGTCTTTCCAGATCCCCATAGGATCTTTCCCATTTCCTTTGCCCCCTTACTCCACCCACCGAAATGTGCAATATTTTGATTTCCCCCTGCTCATCCTCACCCCTCTGCTCTCATTCTCTCCTCCTTGGGTCCTCATCCATATTTTACTCGTTATCTTTCTATTTCTACAATAATGGTCTTATGTAGGATTTGTCCTTGTGAGACCGAGTTAATTCACTCAGCATGGTGCTCTACAGTCCCTCTTAAGTTATGTAGTAATTCTCAGAATCTTTGTTCGTGAGTGCTGTGTTGTATTCCGTCATGTCAATATACCACAATTTCTCAATCCATTCGATTGTGGTTGGACATTTGGGCTGTTTCCATGTTTTTGTGATTGTGAGTAACTCTGCTATGAAAATTGGTGTACAAATCTCTGTTTGTGTCTCAGTTCTAATTTCTCATGGCATATCCCAAGTAGTGGAATAGTTGGATCATATGAAATTTCTGTGTTTAGCTTTTTGAGGAAACGCCAAACTGCCTTCCAGAATGGTTGTACTATTTTACAGTACCACCAACAGTGCATGAGAGTTTCTATCTCTCCATATCCTCTCCAACATTTCTTGCTTGCTGTCTTGTTAAACTTTGCTATTGCTACTGGGGTGAAGTGGTATCTCATTGTGGTTTTTTTTATTTGCATCTCTTATTGCAAGCGATTTTGAGCATTTCTTCCTTAGTGAAAAGTCATTCCAATATCACTTGCCCATCTTTGCAATTGGATTATCATTCTTTTTCTTGTGAAGGCCCTATAGTATTCTGTAAACGTTTGTTGTGAGATGCTTGTCTGAGACGGTATTGCCAAATATTTTTTTTCCCAGTTGGTAGGTTTTGTTTTTACCCTGTTGGGAAAAGTTTTTGATGCGTACAGGGATTTAATCTTTAGAAGATCCCATTCATTAGTTTATCCTCTCCTCGTTGTATATAGCTGGCTATTTTCCATCTTCTTTTGATGCATCATTCAAGATTTTGCCCATAAAATCCTTCAGGATTGCAACTCGAGGCTTGAATGTGTTTTTCCATTCATCCAGTTTTAGAAATGTCAAATGTGTTTTTTCCTTTTGGTTTTCTAATTCCACCTCTTTACACATTTCTTTAAATGTTCTGGCTTCTCGACTTGGGCTTTAAAATTTTCAGTTCCTCTTTTTTACTTTAGTATTTCTTCCCTTTGGTTTGATCTTGCTACCATCTAGTGCAATTTCCTAGTCTTTTCTGACATTCATTTTGGTCGTTTCTTTCTCCCGTCTTTGTGATGACTTCTTGCTGTCTTACAGATTATATCCTTGATGCCACAACTCATCTGATCTTCAGGCATTAGTGTTTAATACATTAAATCTGTCCCTGAGATGGTTTTTAAATTTAGATAGGATAAACTTGAGGTGGTAGTTTAGTTCTTATGGACTTATTTTACTTTTCATCAGCTTCAGTTTGAACTTACACATGAATAATTGATGGTCTATTCTACAGTCAGCACCTGGCCTGGTTTTGACTGCTGGTATTCAGCTTCTCCATTAACTTTTTAACAGATGTGGTCATTCTAATTCTTGTGTAGCCCATTAGGTGAGGTCCAAGTGTATAAACACCCTATGTGTTTCATTAAAAATATTTATTTTAAAAAATAATATATTTGCAATAGATAAATCATTGTGAAAATGCATTCATTTGATCTCCAGCCTCATTTCTGCTACTAACTCTATTTTTCCAACTACCAATCCTTCTTTGTGTCAGATTTTTGCATTCCAGCCACTAATTATTATGAATACATCTTGACTGCATTTTTGATCAATGCCAGACTTCAAAAGTTGCTGGTAGTTGTATGCTGTGGAGTCAGCATAAAGCATAACTCATAGCTGACCCTCCAGCAGGTTTTCAGAGGCAGTAAATTGCATGGGAGAAGATTACCCATCCTTCTCTTGCAGAGCAGCTGGTGGATTTGAACCATCTTTGGAATTGCCTTTGTGCAGCTCCTTACCACTAGGCCACCAGAGCTCCAGAAGTCTTCAATTTCAATTTCCTAATATTTGGCTTTGGTTGTTGGTTGTTGTTGCTATGTGACATCAGGTCAACTCTGACTCACAGCGACCCTATATTTAAATAATAGTTATATTAACAGTTTTCCTTATATGAATATAGATAATAACCTATCACACACAACAAACATCATACTTCAGGATAGAACTTGAAATGCACTTTTTTAAAAAAAAATGCACTTTTTTTAAAAAAAAATGCACTTTTAAACTTTGAATGCAACATGAGGAAAGGCAGTAAGCCTGGTGAAATTTCAAATCTTCTATATGGGGCTTTGAAATCTTTAGGCAAATTCTTTCATTTGGCAGGTTGACCTTAACTATGCTCTGCATAAACTGCAATAGGAAGTGTGATGTGAAATAGGTGAGGTTCAAACTAAAGGAAGATGATCTGGAATTAGCCATTTACTGCAGATAATCCAAAAAGCAAATAGACTTAAGTGACTGAGCTGTGTGAAGACAAGGTCATGGCCTGTAGGAAGAGCACAGGTGTAGAGGAAAGCACTGTGGGTTGCTACAGTGATAATCTTCCAAGCAAGTGTGTTTTTCCTGGTGCTTTTGGAAAGGGCACTGCAGTAATCAGAGCTTGGGGTGTGCTGTGCTTAAAATCTTGGGATACTCAGTTGAGGGGGTGTGTGTGTGTGTGTGTGTGTGTGTGTTGAGAATGGGAGTGTTATCTGACCTGAGGTGAAGTGAGTGAACCTCCACCGATGATGCCTAAATGAGTCTTTAGAGGAGTTACATTGTTTTGAGTAGCATGTCTTTTACCATGAAGAGAATCCCCAGCCTACATCACTCTGATTCAAATCTGAATCCTATTCACTTACAGCTGTCAGTTGACTAGCAACTAAATGGTCTGGGTGTTGGTTGCCATGGAAACAGCTAAAAGGCCCATTGCTATGGGAACCCACCCTGCTCTCCAAACCAAGGGTTTGAGTCCTAAAGAAGGGCTGAGGAGAGGATAGAGCTCACATTGGGTTGTTTAGATGGCCTCCCTTCCTGTATGTTCTAGAAGAGGTGGGGAAATGGACAGTAGCAGTGTGGGTAAATAAGCCAGGCCAGCTCCTCAAAACGTACATAGAAGGAGCAGTGGCCTCTTTGACTTGTCACAGTTTTTTACTGTCCTCTGCTCATTGGCTGGTGGTAGCCACAGAGCACAGATGTTTGCTGTCTCAAATGAAGAGTAAGGCCATAAGAAGCAGGGGTAGATCTGCTGCCCTCATCTGAAGGATGAGCTGAGAGTCAAGATCTTGATTCTTCTTTGGCAGGCCCTTCTCTTCAAATCATGTGTCCCAGAGAAACAGCCAGCAAGTGAAAGGATCAGCTTAGCTCTGACTGCCCGTGGGTCAGGCAGATAAGGAGCCTGGCAAACAAGATGGATGGCTGCTGGCCTTGAACATGGCAGAGATGCTAGGAGTTCCGGATCAGAAAGCAGGAGGGCAGGCCCGCAGCAGCCGTCTCTTTTTAGCCTTATGAAAAGGCATTACCCCGCTCTCTACTCCCTCTGCCCACCCATATGCCCCTGCCACAAGAGGGGATACTGCAGATGGATCAAAGTAGTTTATTAAGATGAGGCTGGATGGAGATGCTTCGTGTGTCTGCACAACAGTTATAGGATTCTTTACAGTGTTTGACAATCTAAGGAAAGAATTTTTCTATTTATGTCCCATGGAAAGATGATCTTTTACCAAAACAAAGAGAAAATAAGCATCTGGTGGCTCTGCCATTAACTACTATTGATGTGTAATGCATTAACTGAAAGGATTGGACTGGCTGATCTCTAAAATCTCTCTTAGAACCAGCAGCCTGTGATTCATTCAGGATTTGAAAGGGAAGTTTGAGCACCACAGGCAAGAGGACACAGGCTAAAATCTTTACTTTCATTTACTCATTCCAGTGAGGGCAAGGAAAAGCCTTAGCGGCCAGAGGGGTTTAGGAGTGAGATCAAGGCCAAGACATTTGATTTGGAGACCAGCTCTGAGCTCTAGGGCTCCGATATTGCACATTCCTGATGTGTGTGTTCTTGTAATCTTGCCTTCCCCTGCCTGGAGCTGTTGGTCTCCGCACCTCTGAGCCTCAAGAATCTAGGAGCCTGGCACCAGAGGGAAAGATGCTGTTGTTTTTACACTGAGATACTGCTAGCCAGACTGCAGATGCTCCAGAGAACTGCCTCTCCCGCCCACAGCATTTCCTCAGGCTGCCGAAGGGGTCACTTTTGGAACACAGTAACTGTTTCCAGGATCCTATAACCTTTAAATTTTTAGATATAAGAGACTTTGCATCCTATCTCCAACTCTTTCCAGACAATTGACTTTAGATAATGCCTCAGTTTCTTCAGCTATAAACTAAAATGCTAATGGTGTTTCTAATGATGGTGTGAGGCAGTATATGGAGCATACTCATTGCAGTGCCTGAGCACATAATAAAAACCTGACGAAGGTGCTTAGCATTATTATTATTGCCCAAGATAAAAAAGATGGAGTGAGCCCCTGGTTATTGCAAATAATTACCACGACTAATGCTAACAAACGGGTCGTACTGTCTCAGAGTGCCTGGTAGTCTGCTCTGAAAACCTTGTGGAGTGTTTCTTTCCTGCCACCCAAGGGTCGTCATGAGTCAGAACTGGCTGACAGCAACTAGTTTCACTGGCTGGTTAGATAAAAAAGGAAGGTTGTAGCCATGACTGATTGTCCACTGCTGGAAACTGACCAGTGGCCAAGAATCAGACATTTGCTGCAGATTTGTCTTCCAGATTTCATTCCAGCAGCCCTTTTAGGCTGATGGTCAGCCTCTTTGTTGCCCTTCTTTGTAGTTTGCTTTCATTAAGCTAGATTCTAATCCCCTTTTTTATTATATTTAACCACATGCTTTCTCTCTGTGTATGTGTGTGTAAACTTACCTCACTCTAAAATATAACCACCTGAAGGAAATTAGCAATTGTTTAATAATTTAAGAAACAAAACAAGCAAGGAAAAATACCGTGATTCTTGGGGCTTTGAATCTGAACATTTAACTGTACAGCAACTTCTACCTCCCATGAGGAGTCCAGGAAGACTAACATTGACATACTTTCAGCCTCCAGGAAAAGGACATGGCACTTGCTCTCTCCTGGTCTCTCAGGTTCTAGAAGGCAGCTGTCAGCTAAGCTAAGCTCATCAGCAACACTGGCTTGTCTCCAGCCTGAAGGTTCCTGGTCCTGGGCTCACCGGGAAACGGTCTTTCTCCTTTCCTGGCTGCTGTCTCCAGCTTAGCAAGCTTCCCCACTGCTCCTAGCTCAGGCATGTTGGTGACTCTGCAGCTGCAGATTGCACCAGGCAGATGTGGCTACACGCTGTCTCCCTTCACCAGTGAGTGCACTGAACCTTTGCAGCCTCTGGCAGGACCATCAGCTTCCCTCCAGAGCTTGCCCGTGCTCAGCTCAGCAGGGACAAGGTCCAGAGAGCTAGATGGAATATCTCCCAGACTGGCTACTGAGAACCGTCTTTCAGGGTAGGTAACAGGAAGCATACTGGGATGGTGTGGAAGTTGGTAGGATGCCTGGTAGGAGAAAGCACCCCCAGTCCTGACTGGCCTGCTGACCCTTTTAACCTCTTTTAGTTAATACCTCATGGAAGTGCTAAATGAACAAAATAAAAAGTGTGCCCAGGCAAGCTTGAAACTTAAGGCAATTCATACCCAGAATAGTAATGCCATAGGCTAGAGTAGTGGACTAGCAGTAATCTTTTGTATTTTCCTGTTTGGATACATTGAGACACTGAATACAGAACCCATGAGAAAGACAAGGTTTTGGATTTGATCACATGAGTTTAAGATTGTGCCTATATTTGACCATTAAAACAGACCTTTTTAATCTTCTGAGCAAATAATTTAAAAAGTTGGACTTTCTGAAGAAGAATATGGACTAAAAAAGCTGGACTTCATCAAGAAAAATGTGGCCATCAGGATCGAAGGAAGATTCATCAACAATCTGCATTATGCAGATGACTCAACCTTGCTTGCTGGAATTGAGGTTTAAAACGCTTTCTGTAGATGATCCAAGACTATCATCTGTGTTGTGGACTACATCTCCAGATTGAGAAAACAAAAATCTTCCCCCTAGGGCCAAAAGGCAGCATCAAGATGTTGTTGTTGTTGTTGTTATGTGCCGTCGAGTCGTTTCCGACTCATAGCGACCCTATGCATAACAGCCCTAAACCCTGCTCTATCCTGTGCCAACCGCACTGCCTCTGACACACCCATCCCGATTACCCCAGTCACCGAATCAATCCATCTCATAGAGGGTCTTCCCCTCCTGCATTGTCCCTCAACCCTCCCAAGCATGATGTCCCTCTCCAAGGACCCGTCCCTCCTGGCAACATGTCCAAAGTATGTCAGACGAAGCCCCAGAATCCTTGCCTCCAAGGAGTAGCTTGGTTTAATCCTCTCCAAGATAAATCTGTTTGTTTTCCTGGTAGTCCAGGGTACATTCAGTACCCTTCTCCAGCACCCCAGCTCAAAAGCATCCACTCTCCTTCTGTCCTCCCTAGTCATTGTCCAACTCTGATGCATAACAAGCGATTGCAAATACCATGGCCTGTATCAGGCGCACTTTCATCTAACTTGAATCCACAATCAACACCTTGTTACCAGCAGTCAAGAAATCAAAAGATGGGTTGAATTGGGAAAATCGGCTGTCAAGGCCCTTTCTAAAGTACTAACAAGCAAGAATGACAATTTAAAGACTAAGATACATCTGACCTAAGCCATGGTCTTTTCCGACCTGGGCTGGTTCACCCCTCCTTAGGCAACCTGGTGGTCCCCCGCTCCCTTGAGGTCACCATAGGTGCTGAACTTAGTGCGGATCCCCCCAGTCAGCATAGTGCACTACAGCCCAGAACTCCTTGCCTCGAATGATCCTCCAGCCTCAGCCTCCAGAGGAGCTGGGACTAGCGGTATGTGCCACCATGCCCGGTGGTCTTTTCAATTCCTTCCTATGCATCTGAAAGTTACACAGTGAATAACAGACTGAATACGAATAGATGTCATTAAGTTGAGGTGTTAAAGAAGAGTATGGAATATTCCATGGATAGCCGAAAGAACAAACAAATATATCTTGGAGAAAGTTATCCAGTGTGCTCCGTGGAGCCAAAGATGGTGAAGCTTCATCTCATTGGGTATGCTGTTAGGAAGGGCTAGTCATGGGCAAAGGGCATCATGCTTGGAAAGGTGGAGAGTCAGTGTAAGAGATGGAAATCTTCAACAAGATGGATTGATGTAACAGTGACTGTAACAATGGACTCAAGAGTATCAGAGATGACTGGGATAGTGCCAGATGGAGCAGGTCAGATCTATTATTCATGAGGGATCGCTATGAGTTGTAGTCAACTTGACTGCTCATAACAATAATAACCATGCTACTGAAATGATTTCTCTGGGTCCTGAGGGTAAGACAGGCTTAGGTGAGCTCCACACTTCTGCCACGCTAGTTATCAGGTCATCTAGTTAAATTCACATGCATTCCTTCAACTGATTCTTACTGAGTGTCTGCTGTGTTACAGACACTTGTACTAGGCTCCAGGAACTAAAAAAAGAGTAAGACAACAGTCCCTGCCTCCAAGGAGCTGACACAATAGTGGAAGAGGCAAGTGACAACACAGTGGGACACTGGGCTACACAGAATGCTACAGCAACAAGACAGAAGACTTCTGTCTATAGATGACTTGCCGTGGTAGAGGCAGAACAAGTCAGGCTCTTGCTTGGACCATGGTGGGTAATGGAGATGCCTCACACTGTCTAAAAGAGGCACTGGTGCATCAGTGATAGAATTCTCCCCTTCCACCCACATAGGCAACCCAAGTTGACTTCCCAACCATTGTGTCTCACTCAAAGCCATCAATAGTGTGTTAATGGAAGACTGAGTGTTGCTAGGATGTCTGGTCGCTTAGTGGTTTGGCATTTGTAGTTTGAGTCCATGAGATGTTCCTTGGGAGAAAGATGAGCAATCTCTTCTCATGCTAGTGACCAGCTGGAGGGTCAGCTTTGAGTTGGCCAATTCAAGGGCAAATAACAACAACAATAACAACAGGGTATTGAATATATGTCAGTGAAGCTTCTAGACTAAGATAGACTGGGAAAAAAGGCTTGGCTTTTCTGAAAACCATGCAATGCAAATCATATCAATCACAGTGGTCTGTTCTGTGATTGGTTATGGGGTTGATGCAGCATC